AGGAATATAGGAATGAGGTTTTATATTGAATTAATATACCAGAGAGATAAAATTTGCTCATAGTTCTACTGTTTATGAGGTGAGGAGTATGGAGGAGTGTGCTTAGTGTGACTCTTGCCAGATGGTACATTGCCTGCAAATAGAAAGCTTGATCTTTGGCATCACAAAGTTTTACATGGATGTACAAATGCCTCTTGAAGAAGTTGGGGGGTGTTTTAAATAATTTCATTGCACTTCATTTGGATTATTTTTATTGTTGCCTTTTTGTTACTCAGGTAGTATAATTCATGAGACAAGTTTACTAAAGAGTTATCTCTACAGAAGCATCCTTGCAGAATTTTTCAAATAAACATGTGTATTTCCATGAATAACCTGTTCCAGATTTGCTGTAAGACTGCTGCCTAGGTTAGTATGCAGCAAAAGCTGAGCATGAGGAAAAATCCACAAGTCATCCTGCTACAGAAAACTGGAAACAGCTGTCTAATGGGAATGGGAGCTTAAAGCTTGGTAATTCCTGCTTTTTCCAGAGGGCATCTGAATGATCAGTGAACTGTTCTTTATTTCTTCTTTGATCCTTTTAAGATTTGTATGTTACCAGCTTTCATGTTTAAATGCACTTGTTGAGTGTACTGTTTTTCTTCACTTCCAATTTACAGTTAAAGGCCTGTTAGTTTGTGAAAAAACAAACAAACAAACAAACCTTTTATGTACTATGGCACATTTATGATTTTCTGATGACTATTCAAATCCATTCCATCTAATTTAGGAAGTATTACTAAAAAGGAGGACTTCCATATGACACATTTTATATTTGAGTAAACTAGTTTCACTGTGATGGTAAGATCTTTGGGCTTGACTTTGTTTCTGGTATTAATACTACATTGCATCACTGAAGTCAATACTTTTCTATGAGCAAAAGCTACTTGCTATTCTTTTCTCAAGTACACAATTCCTATCACAATATTTACGGTGCACAGGTTGTGCAAGAGGATTAGCTGAGTGTACTGTGTCTTCCCCTGAGACTACCTGCATGTACTGAGGTCATTGCTGTCCTCCTGAGACTGTACCACTTCATCACCTGAGGTAATGGGTGAAACAGGACAGGGGACCGACCCTTCTGACATCCATGGTAAAGAGAATATGGGAGGGTGCTTTCAAAGTTGCTAACCATCTTTCTGTCAAAATCTTCCCAGTGCACTGATTTTGAAGAGCAGTATGGGCTAAAGTCACAAATGTTTTAAAAGCAAGACTAGTTCTAAGACATACTTGTCCTATTCATTGCAACTCAGCTGATATAGGACGCTTGCATTCAGGGAGATGTTGTTGGAAGGAGTGATGATTTTCTGGCTTTCAATCAAATCTTGCAGCAGATTAGTATGGAATTATAATTTAGTGCAATTTGCAGTACCATGAAGTCTGTTGCAAGTTCAACTCCTGTAGCAAAAACTGTTGATACCTTGCTACAGACACCAGGTAATGATGCATGCATTTGCTTGACAGGTACAAAGAAGCTCCCTTCTGCACACAGGGATGAGTTTGTTCACTGTCACTGAGGCACAACTATGTGTGTATGGACACAACACCAAGCCTGGGGAAGCTGAAGATCTGGAATGTGAGAAGGGAATTGCCCATGAGCAGAAATATTCTTTAGTGCAGAGATGCCCAAAGCTGTTTGCAGTGCTTAAACGAATTACACAAACTTTAAGTATTTAAACTAGCTTGTGAATATGATTATTGGAGGGGTAAAAGTGGAAGTATGTGATTATGTCTTCTGTCTATCCTTCATCCCCTTACACATCTTTTCTGGGTGAGTCTGATGATCAGCAGTCCCTGAGTGCCAGGGTGAAGGGGTAGGCATTGCAATCTGTAGCTATAACAGGGCCTGAAGGGACAGAGGAGCAAGATGTAGGCATTAAAAGGGGCATGAGCTTTTGTGTACATCATGTGCCTAACCCCCTTCCTGCAGGGGCAGAGCTGAGTGTACATGGCCTTCAAAAATCCACAGATCCATTTTCCCTCTCAGGAAAAACCTTAAGAGTTGTAGCAGGCTTGAACACTTAGCAGGTGTTAAGACTTGGCATGCTTGTTGTGAGTAAATCAACTGCTAATAAGGTGAAGAAATCACATGTCAAGGCAGGTTATAAAACCACAGATCCACGTGGTTGTTGAGATGGTTGTCAGGCTTAGGGGATTCTGAAACTTCGCTTCATTGGCAGCCTGCCTGTCAGGATATGGGTAGGGCATGTGGGAACAATGCTCTCAGGGTACCCAGAATTAATCTGCTAACAGCCTACGTCAGGGCAGGTGTCACAGGCATGCCGGGGTTGCCCCAGCTGCTTGGTGCCAGCTCTTTGCTCCAGAGCCAAGCAGGCAGCTTATGCTGTGCAGCTGCTCTTGTATTCTGTTCTGAGGCATGCTCTTTGCATGCCTTGTATAGCTCTTTAGCCACAGACAGCTCAGCCAGAGCTTTTTATCAAAGGTGAATCATGCTTTCTGTCATGCCATAATCAAGGATTTTTTTATGTCCATGACTCAGAGAAAAAGGCGGTGGTGTCCCCTCCTAGTCCTAACTGGATAAGGTGCTCTTGTTTCCCCACTCATTTAATGATTGGAGAGAGGGAACCAGCTACAGATTGATGGCAATTTCAATATAGACTTGGCTTTCTTGGTGCCCTCCCTTCTTCCTGAGATCTGTGCTGGATAAGATGGGCTGCAGGACCCATGAGTTTGCAGCAGTGCCAGCAGGATAAATATTTCTGTATTTCTCTCTGGTTTTAAGATGATGGGTGTATATTCCCCTCCTTTTTTTGTCAAAGGTTAGCCCCATTAGATGTACTGCTCTTCATTTAATCTCCTTCTCCCATCTGTTCTGTCTCTTTTCAGTAGAAACCAAGGAGATGTAGCTCCCACTCAGGCAGACAGATAACTCCATCTCCCATACATGAGAAAATATCTCTGTGTGAAGCAGAGCAGTGCCTTGCTGTGCACACGTATCAGATTGTACCACGAGGGCAGACTGCTCTCTCAAACTCTGATAATGTTATATTCCCTCTGCCAGCTTATCCAGCTGAGGGCATGCCACTGCCCCCTTCAGTTAGGTGTTGTTGAATTCCCAGGTCTAAAAGAGGACCCAAGGGAATCCAAACAGCTTTTTCGTGAGAAACCAGGTTATCACAGCAGTAGGTAAGAAAAACAAATAGTTTAAGATATTAAAGCCATGATACAGCTAGTAAATAAAGAACAGTGCATGTTGATAAGGTGTACAGAATTTATAGATGATTGTTAAACCAATTCTACGTGAATTTTGTGATTATTTGGATAATAAACCATAAAGACGGCAAATGTGGATAGAGTAAAACTCCATACTGTACCTTAGAACTCACTGGTAGGTGGCCATTTCATTAAGGAAGAAATCTTGCCTCCCAAGCTACAGAGCTGTGTTTGATTTCTCTGACTTTTATAGAGCAATTTGAATTGTCTCATTGTGAGAAAAAATGCACACCATGAGTTCTTTGTAGAGAGAGAGGAGCATTATCTTTGAGAAAAGCTGTCTTCATATTAGTTCATATAGTATTACCTCTGTGAGACAAGCAGGTGTTTATTACAAGTAGTTATTTATTTCTAATGTTGTTATCACCAGAATATACTGTTATCACTGTCTATGAAGCAAGGCAGTTTGTAGTGAAGCTGCTTTGCTTTTGTTTTGTGATTAGATGCCTACACTAGTTTTTATTTTCTGGCTCTTACCTTTGATGTCCTTGGGACTTCTACCCTATTTGGTATTAACTTCACAGAAGTAAAGTTGCCTTAGAAAGATTAGAAAAATTGTGATTTTAATTAATGCTTCTTAAAACTTCGGTTTATACTAACTTAACCATTTTTAACATTGTGCTGTGAAATATTATACAGTCATCTGAATGAGATTACCAGGTAGGTAATAGCTTCCTAGATGAAGCATCCAGTTTGCCAAGATAGGGAGCAGGGATATATTCCTTCTGCCATGTGGTGGCAGTAAGGGGATGGCACTTCTGGCACAAACACCTGTGATGGGAGCTGCACACCTTTGCACCCAGTTGTGTGGAAAGATCTGCCTCATGTGCAGGGTCCTGTTAGCATTGCCAGAGACTCAGACCAAGGCTCTGTTCTTTGCTGTCCTATGTGTGCTCTCACAGCCACAGCTGAAATGGAGGAGACAGAGGACAAAATGGGGGTTGCAGTGTGAATGGTGTGTGTGTGTCCTGAATACATCCATGTGGGCACAGTACTTCAGCCAGTGATGTAGGAACAACCATATTGAGGAAACAGCTGTAGGTCTGGGTCTTTTCTCCCACTTTCCTTCCATTAGGGAAGTTTCCTTAATGCAGTTTTAGTTAATAATCACTTCAGATAATACTGGTTTTTAATAAGCAGAATTTATTAAAAAACACATGCCTTGTGTGCTTACTAATTTTTTTACCATACATTATTTCGTGTGGTAGGGAATAACTTCTCTAAAAAATTTTGCATTTGTCAGCTCTAAGTTCTTAAAGTTGATGGTATTTCAGTATTATTCCAGAAAGGTATTCCCGTCTCATGGAGGGAATGATGTTACATGGAGGGAATGGTATTTTATTATACTAGATATTACTACATTACTGTATATAGCAGTGTATTACTACAAGGAACCTACTTGGCTGTTACATGCATATGTGCTTCTGTTGGCATCTTAAAATGTTTATGAAACATATAAAATAGATTAAAGCATTACAGATTGCTGCATCTTGACCAGTAGTTTGTGAATTATCCTGTACGGTGTTCCTGTAAGAGTGTCAGCTGTGATTACACAGTGTCTCAAAACTACAGAGCACTAAAGAAATTCTGAAATGGCAAGCTGTAATATAATACATCAGAAGAGGCACTTATGTTTGGTCATATGTTTCTGCAGATGCTTTCCTGTTTTTCATTCTTCCATTTGTACATGCTGTGTACATTTTTTTTTAAAAAGTATGTTTTTCTTTCAGCCATTAATGAGTTTCCTGACGATATATTTACAAATAAAGAACGTCAGCAAGGAGGAATTCTGCTTCATATCATTGCTGTAAGTTTTTTTTTCTACTGTGCTTTATTTTTGTTTTCCTTTTATGCTACTTATTCTATTTTTATTTTTTAATATGATATTAATCATCATAGTGACCGTACTTAGTAGAGTTCTGTATATATCAACAAGTCTTTAAGACTTTGATTTGAGTATTTTTAGTACATCTATATGAGTACAGTTTCTTAAAAGGTAACACCTTGGGGACATGGTGTAGTGGTGAACATGGTATTGTTGGATTAACCGGTGAACTTCATGATCTTAAGGTCTTTTCCAATCTAAATGATTCTATGACTCCATGATTTCAGAAAAGGAAATAAGTCTGAATTTGCAGTACCTATGCATTCATCCTCTTGGAGATAAAGTCCTGGCAGAATGGATCACATGACTTGTATTTCATGTTATATTGACAGAGTTTGGGATTCCTTCATTGATGACATCGAGCATGATGTGGAAGTTTCTTGAGGCTGTTTCTTTTCTTTTGTACCTCTATGCAATAGATGCAGTTATAATTAAAAAACCCAAACCAACCCTGAAGAAATATAGAAAATATAATGTTGACTTCTATTTTCTATTCTATTAAAAAAACAAAGCAAGTGAGGCCTGCAGGCTCCAGGTTTTCATTCCCAGCTCAGGGAAAGTAAAGTATAAAGGAGTTCTGTTTGATGGACAGCAGCAGGATCAAGCCCGCTGCATGGGCACAGCACAGAAAGCTGCATAAGACAGTGGGAGAATCACAGGTATGCAGGGAACCAGGATCATTTCTAAACATCTTGGTGCAGTGTTCATGGCCAGGGTCCACTTATTTCTAGGTGTGAATATTTTCTGAATATTGTTAATCAGCCTGGTTTTACTTTCTATTTAATTACTTGGTCTGATAATTTAAAAATATAGGGGATGACTATATGACTTTGTAGCTTTACCTGTTGCTTTTCATTATATGAAATCTGTTGTGGCATGCTCTTCTGTTAAAGTATGGTACCTTTCATATTTTAGGGTCTGACAAATATTCCAAATGAGATCTAACATTCAGAAATATGGTTTTATGTCATAAATTTATCAACAGGGAGATTTTTATTTAGAATGAAATGAAAAGTGTAGCTATATATTTCTGCTAGTTTGAATAAAGGTAGCATTACCTTTATTCCTCTTTTCACATACACAAAAAATCTAAAGTATTCCTTGAATTTATTTTCTCTACAGGCTCTTTATATGTTTTACGCTTTGGCCATAGTATGTGATGACTTCTTTGTTCCATCCTTAGAGAAAATTTGTGAGGTATGTTAACAAACATTATCACTCTTCTAGAAATTTGTTTAGAGAATATTATTTAGAAATATTATTTTCCATCCAAAAAATGAACCAGTGGTCTGTGCACTCTTGTTTCTCTGGCCGCACTCAAGCAGAAAAAAATCAAAGATTTAATGAGATCAGATGGCAAAACCCGCTCTTAAATACCTGAGGCATGTAACTAGAAGAGGTTATGGATGGGCTGGATTTATTATTGTACTCCTTTTAAAAAAGTAACTTGAGGAAAGATGTCATAGATAGAAAATTAATGTGGTGGCTATGCAAATCTTATTGCACATCTACCACTGTGTCAGCAAGGAGAAAGGAAGTATATGTGGTCCTAGCATAAAATGGAAAAAAGAGGAAACGTGTGAGAAAAGTATGTACCTTGGATATAGAATGAGAATACAAATTTTATATGAAAAAAAAAAGTAACATAATGGCTTTTCCTAATTTTTGAGAAGACTGCAAAGTTCCATTTAGGATTCAATTGAGTTGATTGTGACACAGTAGGATTAATACATGCCATGTAAATGTTGTCTTATGATTTTGGTGAACAGTATAAATACAGAATACAAATGTAGATTTTAACTCCTTTTTAAACACAAAATGAAAATCTCATCTCTGTTGCTTTTAACAAAAATAAGAGTGACCATTTTCTGAAAAACTCCTAGGGGTTTTTGTAGCTAGTTTAAAGGTCTTTTTTCCTGTTGCTAAATGTACTAAGTACCTGTTGATGTTACTCAGAGTTGTAAGCTTACACTCATCAGTAGAATAACAAATATAACAATAAGGGACTAGTAAAATACTCAGTTGGGATATTTTCTTTCCTTTCCAGATGTTCAGTATTCAGCATGCACCTTAGACACCATATTTAAGTTATACCAGTTGGTTGTAGCAATCACTGGTTACAGATCCTTCATAAAATCTTTGCATTTTATCTCATATTCTGCTAAACATTTAAACAGCTACCAAGAGTTCAGATAGCACACTTAGGTTTGAGCACCTGCAGCAGTATGACTGGTAATAGATCATATTTGTGTTTATGTTTTGTCCAGATGTGTAGGATGCCATTGTTATCAGCTTAAGATGTTTTCAGGCAAACTGCTTGAAAAATACAGGATTTTTAAACTTCTCCTTTTGTCACTAGTTACTTTTCTATCCTTGAAATAAAAATAGTGTACTAAGGATTATGTACTGAAGTCTACTAGAGACTCTCAAAAAGGAAAAAAAACTCCTCCATAAAACTGTGTTTATAGTTCAAGGGAAAGATCCTAAGACTGCTGAATTGATGCAGCCCACTTGTGGACCTGCATGTGTTTTTGCTGGTCTGAGAACTCTTAAGTTACCTATGTCCTATTAGAGCTTAAGAGACACCATCATAAAATTAGATCTCTCTATCATACACAGCCCTCTCTGTGTCTAACTGGACTAATTTTATGTGTGTCAGCAGACTCCCTTTTGATTAACACAGTTGAAAAATGAAGCCAGAATCAAACCTGCTGTTTGTAGGATTTATTCACAAAGGTGGTATTTTTCTGTTACCAGTTTTCATTTTTGAATTTTAGAAGCCCTAAGAGTTGGGGAATTGAATGACTGTGTTTAGAGTTACAGAAGTAAATAAATGAAAACAATTTGAAATGTTTACAATCCTTTTGAATCTGCAGAGATACTTTTCTTTAAGCAGCTCCATGTAAGCCACAATTGGCTATTCATTTACATATATAGCTGTAGAACTCCCCATTGTCAATACAGTAGCTGTGCTGAAACTACCAATTGTTTTCTTCTAGAAACTACATTTGAGTGAAGATGTTGCTGGAGCCACATTCATGGCAGCAGGGAGCTCCACCCCAGAACTGTTTGCATCTGTTATAGGTATGGAGCCCACACACAAGCTTTTTTGAGATCTGTTAAAAAATCAGCAGCAGATCAAGCACAGGTACCCATTCTTCTGACAATTTATAATCAGCAATTGCAGCTGTCAGCCAGTCTGTGATTCATGGCATCATTAACTACTCAAAATATCTCATGAAAATGTGAGTCTTCTCTCAAAACACAGAGAGGAATGTCTGATTCTGAGCACAGGATGCAAAAGAAGAGATTTATTGAAGTCCCTTGAGAAGTAATTTGATATATTTGGAAACAGATTAAGAGCAGCTCTGAGGAGAAAGACTTGGGGGTGTTGGATGATGAGCTCATCATGATCTGTCACTGTGCAGCCAGTGTGCACTTGCAGCCCAGAAAACCAACTGTATCCTGGGCTGCACCAGAGACAGTGTGGCCAGCAGGTTGAGGGATGGAACACAGCTGAAAACTAAGCTATGAAACAAAACTTACTGTTGAACTAACTAGTTAAGAAATCATTTACTAAAAGTATATATGTAGAGATTCTAAGCCCCAGCTGGGGAACTGCTAGCTAGACTAAAAGCACAAATTATTACACAGAGAAGTGAGCCTTAATTATGAAATGTGTTTTGGTTAGTCTTTGAAACAGTCTCTATTTCACAAATAGAACATGTTCTGAGTGACTGAAAATTAAATTACAGAGGTAGTTATGTATGTTTTTCTCCCTCTGCAGGTGTATTTATCACTCATGGAGATGTAGGAGTTGGGACCATTGTTGGTTCAGCAGTTTTCAACATCCTCTGCATTGTTGGTGTCTGTGGACTGTTTGCAGGACAGGTCAGTAAGATATTTGTCTTTATATAGTTCAATTGCTTACAATTGCTTTAGGGGTTTCCTTGAGCATATATTAAAAAAAAAGACAAAATCACAGACAAAAATGGCATTGTGAAAAACCTCAAATATTTCAAAGAATTTACAAATGCTTTAAAAATAGTGACTGTTTCCAAAAAGTTCAGCTGTAGTGTCAGCACTCTGAACATGTAGCATGCAGAGGAAACTGGTTCCTCTTCATACAATACTGTGTTTACAGTCACCTAATCATTGGCATCTGCTGATCCTTCCTGATACTGATGACAGTCAAAGAATCTGGGACACAAGCATGAGATTTGCTCCATTTACTCAATAGATGGTTAAACTCTTTATCATATTTTTTCAGGGAGTAAGTCCAGTGTATCCACAAATAAAAGGAACGAGAAACAATTGATTTGCTGCAGTACAGTGAATTTTACTTTACAATTGAAATTATGACCAAATCAAGTATCGTTAGTAAGAAATGTATTCCAATAGTGGAAGTTTCTATATTAATTTTTTACGATGCTTAATTTAGATCCATTGTGTAACAGACTGATACTTCTTAATTGTAACATAAAACTGCATTTGGTTTCAGCATTGTTGCTAGTAATAATAATTGCTCACACACCTAAGTTATTTTAAGATAGGGGCCTTTTTGTTTGTTTGTTTCTGAGATCCCATATTTTAGTTGGCTGAAGGTATGATGTTTTTCAGGTGGTTTGTCTCACCCAGTGGGCAGTGTTCCGGGATTCTGTATACTACACAATATCTGTGATTGTACTTATTGTGGTAAGTAGCTCTCTTACTGGTTACTGTGTTTCATTGCTTGAACTTTGGTGGACCAGCCTGCTCACTATACACACTGGCAAATAATTATTTTCCTAGCTAATTCTAGTGGCATCTGGAAGTGAGAGCTGAGCTCCACAATGTTGCATAAATATGAAAATTTCATACAGCCCCATGGAGTATGTGCCCACCATATCCATCAGTATCCATTGATTTTGTACTAGGGTTTGTAAAGTTCTGCAGGCTAGTAGGATACTGTTATGCAGTGCAGATAGCACTCTCTTCAGACTGCTTGTTGTGGTGGTGAAAAATTTTGAGCTACACATCTGTTTTAAATAGAGAAGGTGGCTATTTCTTGCTTCTACACAGTAATTTTCTTTCTGATTCTGGGTAAGTTTTTCCATGTAGAACACAGGGGAGGTACAACTTTGTTCATCTAGAGCTGTGTAGTAGTTCCTGAATGTACACATTTAATATGTCTGGTGGCAAGGCAGGGAAGAATGCATTTAGTCTGTATTTTGTAATGCAAGTGGATCACTAGCTGTGTATTCAGTAACAGCAGTTACACAGGATGGAGTAAAATGTGAGTAGCCATTTGACCCAAGAGGAGAAGTAAAACAGCTGGCTGTTCTGCTAGAACTAGTCTAGCTGTTAGGACTCAAGAGTTAAGGTTTTTTGGAATAAGTGACTTTGCTGTCATTTGCACAACATAGCATGTGGGTACACGAGTACATATCTGTCTGTCTTTCACACACTTGCACCATTTCCCTAAATAGTTCTTAAAACAGCCACTGACAGAGATCCAGGCCTTGTTCACGAGGTTGTGTTTTGTACGGTGGAAATTCTGGTTAGAAAGGGTCAAGACTTGAGTAGGTCTGTCTAGATGTGGCTGATACTTGCTGAAGAAATTTGACTGTTGTTTGAGATAGATCAGAGAAATGGTCAATTTATGTGTTTCCTTTTTTTCCCTCTTCTAGTTCATATATGATGAGAAAATAGAATGGTAAGTTGTGTAAATTATTCCATGCAGTCCTGTATTTGCCATGAGGCTCACCAGTAAATAGAGTCATAGTGTAACTGACTTTCATTCTATACCCTGAGAGTATGAGCTGGATTGAACACTTAGAAAATCCTATGTATTTTGTTTGGGCTTAGTTTTTATGATGGTCATGGAAAACTAAAAGAAAACCAGGAAACATTAAGGATGTACATAGGCTCTGTGTAAGGCCCAAAGGTTCCCATGTGCAGAGAGGGTAACCAAAACTCTTCTGCTCTGATTCTGACTGTTAACATTTGTGGGGATGCCCAGTGTTCCGATGAACACTCCAATGTGAATCCTAGTGGAAGATCATAGGCACCTTCTAACAGTGCTCTCAGAGTGCCTGGCCTGTGCTTCAGCCCTGAATTGCAAAAGGCCTTGGTGTTGTGATGCTCAGAGGTAGCTGTGGTTTCAGTCTGCATAGCACATTTCTGGAATACATGCACTGCATTTTATTTGCATGTTTATTGAAACTTGAGAGTCTGCTTCCCCTCTCATTCTGCTGAGACACCATCTAATCTTAATGATGTGAGTCCTGTGTGCACAAATGTGACTTGTACCAGATGTTTAAGGCGCGCTCCTACATAAAACTTGTAAAGCATACAGCTGTTTGAATGGCCTTCTAACACTTTCTTTCTGTCTTTTTGAGGTGGGAAAGCCTTGTACTCATCATTATGTACTCATTCTACATACTTATAATGAAGTAAGTACTTCTCCTTACTGTACCCTTTAGATGTTAACTGACCATCATTCTTTTGGTCTTGTTTAGTCCTTGGCCTTCCTGCCTGAGGGCAGTACAGCCAGTCACGTTTCTGTGTTAGATGTTCTGTTGGGTTTTATGCTTAACCAATTTAATTGTAGGTTTGTGCTTAATCAGCAGCAAATACTTGCATGCATCCTTTTCATAGTGCACAGAGGTAAAGTTGCTTTCAGAAAAAGTTGAGAAAAATGTCATTTATACAAAGGTGTATATGAAAATTTTGCAGGATGCTCTGGATTGTAAACACACATCGTGTCAGCTCTATACATGTTTTGTACTCCCTGGAGAACGAGGTCAAGGAACATTAGACAGAGTGCTAAGCAGGTTGTTTACTGACATCTTCTTCTGTGTCACTGCCTCTGACAGGAGAGTCAGAGGGCTCACTGTTACTGTAGGTGTCTGTGACTCCACCCTTTATTACAAGTTGCTTAGACTTATATCCCTTGGTGACCTTCCCTCACAAATCACCCTGTTGGAACTCCCTTTTCTCCTACATCAAGTCTTAGCAGAGCTCATTGACAGCCCTCTTAGGTCCCACCCTAGTGCTAAAATAGATGTATTCTGTCTTTAGAAGGGTATGGTCAGCAGTCCCAGAAATGCTCAAGAACCCTCCCACAGGAAACACAGTTTCCCACTGAAAGAAACAGTGAGCTGAATTGTGAGCTGATGCAGGAGGAAAGAAGCTGCTGTATAGTGAATGTCCTGGCTCCAAAGTCAACAGATCCAGTGTTTTGCCTTCACTGAATCTGCTCCAGTGCCTTTTTGCAATTTGCTGTATGTCACCAGAGATAGGTGCAGTCCTTGCTTTCCTATCAGCTTGCCACTGAGTTGAACAGTCCTTTCTCTTCACTTGCTATAAATTGTCAGAGAACATGCATCTAAGCTTTACTGCTTGCCTGCATAAGTTGTTCTCAGATGGTTTTAAAGTTTGCCAAGAAAATGCAAAAATCCAACTTTTTTAGAGACCTTTTCTTTGCACTTTCAGGTACAACGTGAGGATGCAAAATTTCTTCACTCTTAAAAGCAAGAATGTTGGAAATGGTGACACAGTCAACAATGAGCTGGAAGATGGTAATAAATGTTATGCCTCTAGTTGTGATGACCCATCCATTCCATTACTATGGAAAGGTAAGGCTGAGCAGACAGGACTTGGAAAAAGAGTAGTTCACAGGATATCTTTTTTATTTCTTCTATGCGGATCAAAACAGTGTCACTGTTCAATCATAAGCAGAGTTAACTGGATAATTCAGCAGTCAGATTGCCACATTAAAAAAAATATTTTTTTTTCTATATTCTGAAAACAAGCTGCTTTGCACATTGGCAATTTTTCTCCCTTTTTATTTCTTGTTCAGTGATGAACTACATTGTGAAAGAAATACATTTTTTTAACCAAGAAGAAAGCAATTTTCACTTCAAAAATTAGATTGGAATGAGACGTTGAGATGTGGATGTTGAAGGAAAGGACATGGGCAGATCAGTGGGCAAGAGGGGGTTACATGTTGAGTTCAGATCCTCAGAAGACTGGTTTTTACATGCCTAAATAGTCTGTATACATCACCAGACACATATGTAAAATTGAGAAATGCAGGTTCTTTGCTATTTGTGTATTTTTCTTAAAGGAAAGATGATATCCAGCTTGTGGTACTGAAAGTAAGCAAAAATACCTTGGTATTTTTGGCTTGTTTTCTAAGCCTGTTTTTATCTTTGCCTTATCTCTCTTCTTTTCCATTCTCTCTTTTCTCTCTAGAGCAAAATCATTCCATTTTCAAAGTACAGACCATGTAGTTTAGTGAGCAGTTGGGCTGCCCTTAACAAGTGAGGTCTCCTCACTTTGTTCTTTGCACACATCTCCCATTTTAAGAGGCTGAGCTCATCAGCAATGTTGGTAGCATTGGAAAGATCCCACAAATAATGCCAAACAGGAATTTAGAGCAGACTCAGAGAATCCCACTCTTTTCTGCTTTTACTGTTTAGGCTGGGATTTCTCTAAGGTAGATACAGGTAGCTATACCTATAGGTATACCTACCATTAGGTAGGTATAGTTTTATTCAGTGACAGCACACTGCTACTCTGGTCCTAGATAAGGTGTTTAGACAATGCTAACTTAAAATTATTTCTCACAGGACATTGTAGCATAATTAAATGATGGTGACTTTGAAATACTTTCATCTCATTTTATAATGATCTTTTGGGAGCACTAGCTCTGATATAGTGAGGTCTGTCACTTTCATGTGGATTTGTGTCCATGCAAGGTTCCACAGATGCTTCCTGTATTCAAGTGGAGACATGGGAAAAGGGTAACCCAGTCAAACACCACAGATATCAGTGGCTTTTAGTTTTGAGGAATTTGTTGGGTTCTGATATCATCTCCCAGCAGGCTCTGCTCTCTAGCCCTTGTGGTAAAGAGATGATAGCACAGACTACTTGCCTGTGCATCTATTTCCTTTTCAAGAAAATGTGTAGATTATTGAATGCTTATGAAGAACATGCAGGAAAAAAAGTAAGAAAGCTCCACTAGCAACTGTCCACATGAGATTTATTTTCTGATTTTGCCTCAAAGATGCACTGATACTGCAGTTTCAGTCAGATTCCCTTTGCCTTCTCCAGCACCCATTTCACAAATACCTGCTGCATTGGAGAGACAATTGTTCAAAGAGCCAGAGTGTAGATACTGTCACAGGCAAACATGTCTGAGAAAGTACAGAAAAAGAGATTAAGGATTTGGAGTGAGCAGTGGGAGGGGAGAATGGCAGTGTTAGCCTAACTGCTCTATGTGTCAAGATGCTGTCCTAGAAAGCTGTCACATGGCTGCCTCCAGCTTCTTCCCTCCTCTTCTCTCAAAATATGCCATGGCCCATCAGTCTAAGTTGACACATGCTGGCTTCACAAGCTGAGCTGCATTTTCCCCAGCAGCAGCAGCTTTCAGAAAGGAGCACTGCTAATAGCAAGGAGAGAATTTGGGCTGGCCTCTGCCTTGCACTGGTTAACAGTTTGAGGATCCACCAAAAAACCTCCCTTGGCTTCACCAAGGTGTAGTTTTGACCTTAATCTGATTTTCCACAGGAGGAAAGCCTGATTACTTCCTGTGGAGGAATAGTTGCTTTAGGTGAGGAACCCTGTTTCTAGCAAGGACAGTCTGTTGCTCAGGGGGCAGGTAAAAGGTGTAACCCTGTAAAGCTCTTTTATGCTTGTAAGTTTGATTACTTTCAAGAGCTTCCTGTGGTGCAGTATAAAACCTTTCATCACTCCAGTTTCAGAAAGAAAAAGGAGAGATTTTCACCATAAGAAAAATTTCATTTCAAGGGTGAGTTCTGCACACACAGGTAAAGGCAACCTAGATGTACTTTGTCAATACTGGTCCAATTTTCAAAGTGCAAATGTGTATTATCCTTGACTTTTTTTGTGTTGACCCAAATTTCCACCAGGTGGCATGGTTTGACCCCTGCCTGAAACCTGAAATTTGGATAGAAGCGGGTTTCTGAGGGACTGGGTTTCAGAGCTGAAGTCATCAAGAAGCTTTCTGTTGATTTTGACAGGGTTGTTGGTGCTGAACCTTTGCTGGTGAGCAGTAAGTTTGTTGAAAAGAAAACTCAGTAGAGTTTTTCTGTAAGGATTATCACCAAGGAGAAGTGCAAAAGGCTTTTCTCCTTTTCACATTTCTTAAAACAACTTTCAGGTGGAGTCCATACCATATGGGGCTAAGGTATATTGTTTTTTACAGGCATAGGGAGTCATACTGAAAATAATGAATATAATAAGAGCAATGGGCCACAGCAAGTCAGAATAGCTGTAGTACTTAAACATATATATACTATGAGATATTCTACGTCATTGCTGAGTTTTTAATTATGACATTTTATCAAAGCTGAGTGCTCTCTGTCGTCATAGGGCTCTAAGTAACAGTTTCAGAGTAACTTCAGTGCTCCCATGTTTTTCATGTCACTGTAAGATGAAGCATTTTGGTGAATTCTCTGGAGGAACTCACTTAGGAGCAGTTAATCTGATGAGACTGTTAATATCAGGCCTTTTTGTCCTTACCAGCATTGCTGTCAAACATTTATTTTTCTTTAGCTAAAACAAATGTTAAGTTTATGTGGTTGAGTCCTATTCTGTGAGGACTGATTCCTAGGAAATCTGTCTGGCTATATATTCCTTCACATAAAAGCTTCCACACTCCAAGAGTCACTGGAGTGGATGTGCTCAGTATTTGCATCATCAGCCACAGTACTCAGCAAGGTTAATTTGGTTTACATGTTGGGATGGAGGAGGATAATTGCTCCTTTACATTTGCCAAATGTAAAATTACTACTAGTTCTATTCTGTATGAGAGATGTTAAGCTGCAAGCAAGACTCCAGAGTGGATTCTTTGAGTAGGGCACATTTCTTTGTGAAACCAGAGATCTTACATTTATGACACTTCAGGTGACTCCAGTGTACTCACTGAACCCATTTTAGTGAAACAAGGCAAGACACTCAGATGCTTGGAAGGGTGGAAGTTGCGGATGTTTATTGGTGATTTACAGGCTTGCTGTTTTTTCTTGTTGAATCATTATGGAGAATGTATTTCTTCAACTGCAGATATGCTAGAAGATGCTTGAGACAGCAAAGCCTTTATTGCATGATGTGACTTAGATGCCTTCCTGATGCAGCCTTCCTGAAAAAACAAAAATATTCAACACTGTAACAAAGCAAAAGAGTAGCAATATAAGCATCTGTGTGCTTAGAACAGGTCCATTTTAATTCCATTGTTTGAGTTGAATCTTTTCTTAGATTTCCTTTGCTTCCTGGCTGGGACCATGCACTAATTATCTTTCACTTCTACCTCCTAAATTCTCCTCCTCTTCCTAATGTAAGTAACAATACAAAATGGGAGGGAGAGGGGGAGGCCAACTAAGCAAAGCAGAAAACAAGCAGCAAAGATTATTTTTTTTTCTGTAAATATTATTCTATGTAATAATTAATATTTATTATAGTAATGTATGTATTTCCTGCCCTGCTTTCTAACACCACATGGGTATGTCTCCTGTCTGCTGAGCCTTGCTCTGCTTGCTGTGTCTAGTCTGTAGCATTTGTGAGAATATTGGTTTGTTGGTGAGCTCCTAAAGTCCTTGCCTGTACTTGTGTTGATTCCCAATAAAATTTTGTTTCTATGTGTTCTTAACATGGTAGAGTTTCGTTAACTTTGTAATCTTGGTATGGGTTCCTTTATATTAACAAAAGCTTACTTTGCTAGTTAGTCAGAACCATAGATTTGTTCTTGACAATTCTTGTCATCATTTGAAATTATTCATGTGAGAGATACTGGTAATATTCTGTGAAGGTAAAGTGAAGATTTCCAGAGGGAGTGAGCACAACATTAGGGCCTCCTGCATGTGCAGCACCTTGATCCAATGGAATAGCTTTAGAGGTTTCAGAAGTGCTGTCTACACGGCCACAGTGCAAACACTTCTAGAGAAAGGGTACAAAACTCTAGTGGGACATAAGCAAAGAAAACTGGTGCTACAGCATGAACAGCTGGGGAAAAACTGCTCCCACTAATCTGACAGTGGCTTGGTGGCTGCCTTAGTAGAGTGAAATCCCTTTCCAGCATAAAGAAAGCGCACAACTGATGAGGAGTTTCACCAGAAATATTAAAGAAAAGTCACTCATAAATTCTGGCCTTCAGATAAATGTTTCTGCCACCTGAGCCTGTAAAGACCCGACTCTGGATGGGGGATGCATGGTAAGGTCAATTCCACTGCTAACTCTGTCCATTGTGATCATTAGTGAAGGGGATACAGCAGTATGGCAAAAACAGTGTTGTGATGGTGGATGAGATCATCTGCTCCAGCCCTCCCAAGTACCGGTTCCCTGAAGCTGGATTACGGATTATGATCACAAATAAGTTTGGACCACGCACCAGAATGCGGATGGCAAGCCGACTCATCATTAATGAGGTACGTTCATTTGGAAAACAGAAAATGACCATGAGGCAGAGGGTTACCAAAGAGCTGTGCTCGTAGTGACCCTGGAATTCCGATTCTCCCATGTTCCCACGGTTGGGAGAGAACTATGTCTTTCTCAAGCAGCTATATGAGAGCAGATTTGAAGATTGATTCGCAGCTGGTGATGATGTCTGTTTTAATGGGAGGGCAGTCAAAAAGGAGGGACTGCCTTATCTCCCTGACAGAAAATGTTTACTTCACTGTGTGTGTGTTCATATGTGCACATTTAGATTTTATTTATAGCAGAAGAATTGGTTTTGATTATTACAAAAGTGGTTAGGTTAAAAAAGGATAATGGACAAAGCAGCCAAAAATTATAAAAACTGCTCTTGTATTATTAACACTTCAGGATCCCTTCACAGATTTGCCTTCCTCTTTAGTATTCACTGTAGTCCTCAAAATAAATTTTTCAAAATAAAAATGGATGGAAATATTTTCATGAGGGGAATTTGCCCTGGACAGTTTCAGTTCTCTCTTACTTGATACATTGCATATATTTCTTGTTCCATACCCTGCAGCTAGTGGCAGGACTTGGCAAATGTGGCTGTTCTGAACTTGCTGAAGCACTAGGGGTGAAAGGTTTGGCCTACCTACCTTTTTATGAATGAAGGCAGGAGTTTGCTCCCACAATATCAAATATGAGAGGTATTTACTCTGGCAAGTAAATAAATTTCAACATCATAATACAGTTCATGTGTTTAGCCAGCCTTATGAATTCCACAATAAAAGAAAACACCATTAATGTATTTTTTAAGAAACATCCAGTTTGACAGTGAAATAGTGAAAGATGTTATGGTCAGGAGTAGAAGATCAGACAGCACACATGGCGACAGTGGACTCTGTAATCCTTGAAGTCAATTCATTGATCAGAGAAAAATTCTTAATGGGTGTGTGGGTAGAAAGCTGATACTTGGCACTTTAAACATCTGCAGAAAATGTTGTCTAAACTTGAGCATTTTGAATGTATGGTCTTATGTATTCTTACTTACATATTCACAAGTTTTGCAAAGTATTCAGATAGGATTTTTCTCTCTTTTTCACTAGAGTATGTTGATATTGCTTTCAGAATTTTTTTTGCATGTTGTGCAGTTACTTTATTTTTCAAGGCATTTCAGAGCACTTCTTAGGAATTTGCTAGTTTGTCAGGAAGAGAACACTTTTCAACCCTGCATTACCTCATCTAATGAACTAAAAATAATTTTTTTTTATAAAAGTAAGAACTTTGCTGTTGCATCTAACATTCTCCAGTGCATGAGTGGGTATATATGCTGATGTTTAAAACCTATCCTTGTAATTGTTTTACTGTGTGTTGGAACTGCAGGAGTTCTTATACATTTCTGCAGGGCCAATTATGAGCTTCATGTACTCAGACGAGCAATAAGGATTATTCTTGTTTTTGAAATTAAAAATGGGAAGTTCAGATTTACCTCAGTGAATGGAGTTGAGAAGGAGGGAGAAGAGTTGGATCTGAAAAGAAAGATCCTGGATAATGAGTCATTCATAAGCCAACTTTAATTGTGCAGAGGTGTCTTGAGTGTTACCTTTTGATTATGGTGCTATTGCTGGTATGAGGGGGAACTATTGCATGAGAAGTGCTTTAGAATACCACATTGGTTCCAACATGGGTGGAACAACAAATGTTAGAACATTCTCCATCATGCCCTGAAAGACTCCTGCCAGTAATTTTGAAGTGGATGGTTGACCTGGTGAAGCCTGCTGAAGACAGGTAGGCCACTGGCAGGTTTGTTGTTGATTGAAAGGAAAGCTTTGAGGAGAAACTTCATGGCTCATGTGACTGGGGCTGGACAAAGAGCAAAACTCACAAAGTAAATACTTTCTGAACTATGGCAGTTTTGTGTTTTGACACTGCAGCGCCAGCGGTTAATCCAGTCTGCCAATGGCTCAAGCAAAGCACTTCAGAACAGGAGACAAGAGAATATTGAAAATGGAAACATCCCTGTGGGCAACCAAGAGGAGGAAAATGAACAGGACAGTCTAACTCCATTTTCAGTGCCAGGTAAGGCTTACTTTCTAGATGTTTATAGTACTGAAAAACAAGATAATTCAAATGCCAAAGTCTGGGTTGTAAGAAAGACAACATATGTAGGGAGAGAGGAGGAAAGGAATTGGTTTGACTGTCTGAAGGATGGATTTTCTGACAGTAAAACTGGGCTGGAGGCTGGGTGACTAAAAGCAGATTTTGGAAAGTGTTTTCCAGTCAATCATGGACAGCCATGTTAGAAGTGCTGATTTGCCAGAGGTGAAGGGAAAACAGGAAAGGGAAGTTTATATTGAAACATGTCAGAACGACCTGATGAGCACTGGTCTACAAGTAATTTTGAAGTCAGCAGTTAATAATGACTTGCTGGAAATTGCTAAGCCAGAGGCACCTTGGTGTATAAATATATAATAAATTGGTTTAGTGACTGTAGTGGGGGAGGCTTCTTGGATGAAAACTAAAAAATATTTAGGGAGAGAAAGAGTGTTTAAAATTGTTAGTATAGCTGTATGCAATAGTATTAACGTTTTGAAATTTTTTGAAAATTCTTTGGTGTAAAGAGCTATGTATAACCAACCTCTTGTGCTGGTGGCCTTGGCACATTGCAGGTTGACTCCTGTCCAAATGCTTTGGACATTAGACAGCAGAGATTAGATCAGCCCTCACAGACATGTAGTCTGTCACATAATTACTGTTTAACATAAGTATTGCTTGGCATGGATAAACACCACATTCAGTGAAAAAGAAGGATTTTCCGTGTTATATCTAATTTCTTAGCGACCCCATTTCTTCAGTTGCTGTCATTGTAGAAGAGATGTTTGTGATTGAACAAACGTTGAGCATACTGTGTGAAGACTAGATGATACTGTATAGTTTCCTATGTTACTGTGCTCCCACAGGACCTTCTTGCAGTCAGCAGGTATGGATTGGAGGGAAGAATGGAAGCAAACAAATTCACTGAAGATAGGCCCATTAGATGAGCTTCTGTTCATTCATGAGATAGTGAAAAAATATTTTTATTGTGTGGTGAGCTAACGAGGATGCAGGTCAGCAATATGCTTGTGCACATGAGCACGTTAATGATAAGAGCAGTAGTAATAATAGTAGTAATAACAACAGAAACTAATAAACAACTTCAAAAAGGCAAAATGTCTCCCCAAACAATCTAAACATTGCTGAGTCCTGGAATCATTAAGGTTAGGAAAACCCTCTGAGATTATTGAGTGCTGGCATTAACCCAGTGCTGCCATGTCCGCCACCAACCCAAGTTACTGAGCACCACCTCTGTGTTGCCATTGACAGTGACTGCACTGCTTCCATGAGCACTGTTCCAAACCTTGACCACCCTTGCATGTGTTGGCAAAGAAGACTTTTGAAGTGAGATGGTTTTTATCAAGTTTTTGGATACAAGTTTTGATTAGGGTAGTGCAGTCATGTGTTTCTTCTTACTTTCCAGGCAGCTTTTTTATGAATAAAACATGGGTAAATTTCAGATTAGGGCTTCCTAAGTATGTGACATTCACAATAGACAAACTGCTTTGAACTAAAGAGGGAGTTACTAGTTATGTCACTGGTCTTTAAATGCATTTTTTCTGCATTTTTGAGAAAGTCTTTAAAGATAAAAGTGAGGTTTAACGGGCCAGAGTGGAGCCACTGGTGATTTGATTCATACTTAATGGAGCAAAAGTTCAACATCAGCTCAAGAGAGTTGCATAAAAGTGAATAAGTTGTTGTATAAAATCCTCATCATTACCTTCAGGTGTAGTCACTCCTGTTGTCTGGAGTTGATTAGCCATTGGTTGTATTCTCTTTGCTCAACTCATATATTCTGGCTGAGAATTCTTTCTTTATGCTTTCCAAAGCACCACTTTAATAAGTTTGGTGAAAATGTGAGGATCCAGCATTATGCTTTGTTGTTGTTTAAGTACTGTGGAACAATCAGTAGCCTAAAAAAATCTGGACATTTAAAACTGGCTTCAGGGAAAAGGCAGTTTGCAGAGAATTTCCAAGAATCCCCTCAGGTCTTCTTTGATGTATTTTCAGTCTGGGAATAAGGCACATACATTTTCTAAAGATCAGAAGTTCATGTATTTTTTCAGTACTGGAAACTGTTCTCTGAAGAATAGTCTTTCAGTTTTCAATATGACTTTTCAGTTCAATTGGTTGTGGTGTCCTAGGTAAAAAATCCACTCTTGTATTTTAGGAGCTGCAACTGCAGTGGCTGTGAGTTGGCCCAACCCCTTTTCTTCTGCTGTTTTGTAGTAGCGTTCTTTAGCCTAATTTGGGATTTTACTTTCTTTCTTCAAATTGCATATTCTAGATACTTTTGCAAGAACAAGTTTGGGTTTTTTTCTGAAACAGAAGTAAGTGAAGTATAAATTTTCATCTCTGAATTAGTTTCATCTGGTGATAAATTATTATTTGTCATCTCAAAACACATCTTTTGCATTTTGTTCTTCTTTTATCCTCTGTCAACAGGAGTGCTCAGCAATAAGTGTAGGGCTTTAGCAAGCAGAAATAGAGAATATTGTTGTTACATGAAAACAGCCTCACACTGTTTCAGCATATATCCCCTTTGTCAAACATCCATAGAGATTCACTCCCGAGTGTGGGTGTGGTTCAGGCCCATCCTGAAAAAGGAGACAACATACAGTTTTTATGGAAACTGCATATGATATCCAAACAGTCTTTGCCTTTGGTTTCTGTGTGGCAAAAACACATTCTCTTTAGAAGAGGAATTTCTTTCTTGACCTAACCATTAGACTTTGATGATTATCTCCCATGAGAAAGGCTCGTTTGAAGCTTTACAATTTGATTACAGTTGTTTGAAAACAGGTCTTAAACTTTAAAAACACACCCCACAGATCTGAATAAAATAGGACAAAACTGGGCAGGCATATGTTGACAGCAAAATGCTGTGTTAAAGCCCTTGCATAGCCTAGTGGTCTTTTAGAGCCCAGACTCAGAAAAGCACTTCTGTGCAGGTCTTAATGGATGCTTAAATCCCTTCCATTGTCACATGTTCAGCACCCTTTAAAATACTCTGTGATCTCAGCTTCTGATCATTTCACAGGAATGAAGAACTACTTCACTTACAGAACTGGAGCATGGATGCCTTATATAAGTCATGATGGTGTTAGCTAAAACAGGAATAATAATTCCTTGAGCTAAAGTGAGATGGCAATAAAGGAGATTAGCAATCCTATCCATTTTTGTTTGGATCCAAAATACAAAGATAACGTGTGGGATGGAAGCAAAAAAAATTAACAGTATCTACTAAAAGTGTGTAAAATGTTTGTACTTGGTCAAAACAAATGTTTATCTTAATATTCTGCCTTCAGACATGATTTTATGAAGAAGCCTGGGGAAGAGTGAGACAGGACAAGTTGTTTCTCAGCTGTTTTCACCTCAAAGAACTTCGTGGTCTGGATGTAAAATTTTGATCTAAAATTCCTTAGTGTGTTTCTTCTTCATTAACCTAATGTTAATGTCTAATTGTCATTGAATCTTTGCAAACATTTAACACCCACAACATCATTTGGGAAAGAGCTTCATGATTTTGTGAAGAACCTTTTACTTACTTTGAACCTGGCTCGTACTCAATTCTCTTGATGTCTTCCTTCATTGGAAACACAGTGGACAGGGCAAACCCAGTGCACCTCACTTGAACACTCAGGAGGCTGTAGATATTTGTTAGACAGCAAGTTTAAAACATACAGAATAAACCAGGCCACAATCCAGCCAAGTCTAACAAAATATGGGGGGTACCTCTGTTCAGTTACATCTTACTTTTGTTGAATGTTGTCTTGTATAAACCTGTGGTAACTCTTGAAAGTAAAGCTCGTTTCTGTGTACTGGATCAACTTCTTTTTTGTAGACCAGTTTTCTCTGTACCAAAAATGTGTATTTAAGAGATTTTTGGCATAAATCCAAATATTCAAAGTGTGGTAAAGGCACACGCTAAAAATAGAAATCTGAGTTGTTTTGGACAGATTTCACGGTCTGGAATTTGGAACTTGTATTCTGGAAAAGGAAACTTCCGAGAAGAGTATCAGTAGGTTGAAAAATAGTCTGTTTTGGATGAGGATGAGAAGTAAAACCTTGGTATTTTCCAAAAGGGAAAAATGTTTCCAAAGGGCCGTTGCAGGAGAACTGCAATAAAAATATTTTATTATGTCTGCTGCCCACTTGGAAGGATGATAAAGACTAAGCCTCTTTGGATACTGTTTTACACACTACATAGCCTTTTTCTAGTGTGCTCATACAGAGAATTTCTTGCTTCCACAAGGCTAATAATTATAGGCTAATTTGCAGAGCTGAAATCAATAAGAATTTTCCAAGAAAGTGGAGAGTCAGCTGCTGTGTTAATTTTCATAATACAAAATTGAAAGCCATTTTCTAACAGTTTTTTTATTTTATTTTGCAACAGAAATTTTTCAGCTGAAAATAATTCTGATGGAAAATTCACAGTAGATCTAGTTTGTTGTATCTGTTTCATTTTTTTCTATATTGAGTACCATATTTGGGAGAAAAATTTGGTTTTCTCTGTTGTGTTTAGGATACTGCACATGACTTGAAATTAATTAAATTTTCTGATTGTCTAATTTACTTATACTGAAGTTTTCCAATCAGTCTGATCTCTGATGAACAACATTTTCTAACAGAAATTTACTTGTTGTATGGGTTATTACAAAGTTCCTAGTGTAGAGGCATATGTGTTACTTTTACAGATTTTTGGGTTGAGAATTGACTTGCTATTGATAATAGTATGTGGGTGTAAATTCATCTTTGTAAATACAAAGCTTAATTAGAACCAAGGGCACAGGTGTTTGGAAAATAAAATTTAATTGTAGACAAAACGAGTTGGGGTTTTTTGGTTGGTTGGTTGAGTTTTGTCCTTTCCAAATGAAAAATGATAGATTTAAAAAGATAAAAAAGGAATTAAAAAACTTGACAATTATTAAGTGAAGCATGAAAAAAGTTTGCATTAATAATCTTTTTAGGCAAGCCTGGATGTGCCTCATTTTTACTCTAAATTTACCATCAATAAAAATTCCCTGGAAAAACAGCAATCAATAGGAAACTTCAGGACGCCTTTGTCATTTTAATTAGAGAACACCCTTCCCAGTTTTCAAGTTACCTTAGGAGATGTATATGAATTCACAAGCATACAGTTATGAGGGTCCCGTGTTCCTATTAGATTCATGACTTTGAGGGATGTTACAGTTTTTTTTAGATCAGCCAGCTGGTCATTGCTTTGTGTAAGGACCTGCTTCTTTCACTTGGGAAGGTTTAGGTTCTGAAGGTAACTAATGTGTGGAGCTCAGATCTGTGCTTGGCTGACACACTTTTAAAGAGGAAAACTAAGTGGAAAAGTGATCAAATTTAACTAACTACAGTAACTTAGATGTGATTCCTGATGGTGTAGCTACAGACTCCACTCTGTTTGAACTTGAAAAAGTGTTTTCTCTGCAGCTTATGTACTAGGACATGTGGGCTGTGTGCACTATGTGCCTTTGGAAGGTCTGTTTCAGACTGGCTCTAGCTTGGTCCTGTGGATAAAATGCCTATTATTACTTGGAGCACTTTTAATTTTGTGCCTCTGGTTCCACTTTATACCAAGTGAATGGAATGTTACTGGTGTGATTCAAGGCTGCTCCATGTTGCAGACTGAAATTGCAAACCAGAAAACACTAAGTGGGGTCAGTCAGTGCATTTACTGCAAGAGTACACTTCTGATCTAAAGGTAAACACAAATGCCACTTCACACTTTTATACTGAGCTCCTCTCAGCTGTCTGAGAATGTTACAAATAGAACTCTATTTTTTCTGTAAGAAGTGCTTTCTCTAGCTCCTTAAGGAAGTAGTTGTTTCTTCTCAGTGCTCTGATATGTGTTGCTGACTTTGTTCACCAGGACACACTATCTGTATGTGAAAGTAATTATTGTGAGCATAACATCTGGAAAGATGACTAGCCTAGGAAAGTGTTGAAAATGAGCAGAGCTCTTTGTTTTAGGGCTGCCACTTCATTTTCAGAAACATTGTAATCAAGCTCTTTTGTAATGATACCTCTCTGAGCTATTTGGCATGCTTGGCTTCCAAATGTCTGCGGAAACAGAAAAAAAATGGATGTATGAAGTAGTGAAAACAACTCCTTGCAAAAAACCCCTAATCTTCTTGTTTTACGGTAGTGTGTTGTGAACAGAGTGTAGACCAGTGTTGCTTTCTGTAATAATATTCTGTAATATTCTTTCATTACTGGGGAGTGCAAAATACACCTTTCCTTGGTTTTGTGGGTTGCTGCAGGAGCTTTTAAACCCAGGGCTCAAAGGATTCGGTGGTACCACTGTTAAAACAACTGTGCTGGGGTCTTGTAATGGGACAGAACAGCTGCATATTGATTAATGGCCTAAATGGGAATGATAATTTTCTTCCTTGCACATGTACTAGGGAGCTACTCAACAGTTGTAAAACAATTTGTCATGAGCTGTAAGCGTACTTCACTGTAACATCTTTATCATTAAATCTTTTTAATTATTATTTTGGAGTGGGTGGTCAAAACCAAAACAGAACAGCAAAAGTACTTTCAAAAGAACTTTAAAAAACCCCAAAACTTTGCATCTTCTAGCTGTGTATTGTTTGTGCATTTGTCTAAGCCAGGTGAAATGAATAAAGTCATCAGTTTCTTGAGAAAATAAAGTCTCACTTCATTGAGGTTGCTGCTAAATGTACTTGAAAGTCTTAAAAAACTTCCAAGTTACAGCATAAGAGTAGACTTTTTTAGCCCTATGTGCTACACAAGCTCCATGACCCAGAAGAATAGGAGCTGAATGAAAAGGCCTGAGGTAAAACCAAGGCCAGATATACTTAAGGCTTTATATAAAAGTTTATAAAAGCTAAAAAACCAAAACACAAAAGAGAAGCCAATGTAGAATGTATCAAGTAAGCTGCTTTGGCCATGGTGGTTCCAAAGTATTCCAGGCTAACTGCAAATGGCCACTCAGCTTCTCTTGTTAACCCAGCAAACCCCAGAACTGCAGACTGCTCTTCCCCAAAGTCTCAAGCCTAGCTGCCATGTAATGAATGCAAATGTAACTCCCACAAACCATCTAGCTAAGCAGTTTCAACTCAAGACGTTGTGTGGGGAAAACATCACCACTAATAGAGCCAGGAATTTTAATCTGACACACATCCATTCAAACTCAGCAAAGATAATGGAAAGGCAAGCCCTCCTCCACTAGTAATTAGGTTTTCTTGGAAGTGAGCAAACATAGCTGTGCCAGTGGTAAGGCACTATGCATTCTCAGTTAAGCATTTGTTTCAGTAAGTCAGCATACTAAACAGGATCCCAGAGAAGATGTATTCCCCAGCAGAGGCTCTATTTGTTCTTTAGGCAATTCTGTTTCCTTTACTTATGCTACTGAGAAGAGAAATGGCACTGCCTATGTGTAGCAGCACCAAAGTCAGTCAGATTACACCCACACAGATCAGAATTGGATCCACAGTTTCTTTCAATCAGTCATCCACTGACCCTGCATTTGGAATTATGTGCTGAGGATATTACTGGCCAAGGCCATGCTGACTTGTTGGACTATGAACCAAGCTTAGCAACTTTAGAACACAGAGTAAAAATTAACTATCTTGGAATCTTTAAGTAATCCAAACTGTAACAAATTAAGCAGGAGGAGGTATAAACTACCATAGGGTATTTCGTAGAATATTTACAGCCTTGTTAACAATTAAAGAGAGACGTGAGCCAAGAAGTGTTATTTCCTGGACAGAACAGGTAAAAGATAACTGTTTTAAAAAACATCTGTGCAGAAGTATACGTAAGCAGAGAGAAAAAGGTCTTTCCTGTAAAATCTGTAATAGATCCTCAGTGACATGTAAAAGTCTAGAATTAGAAATAACCCTGGGACACTTCAGTAGCTTTATGCATTAGAAATTCCATAGCCACAAGCTATAAATGGGAGTAAATGCAAAGCTTAGACTAAGATTTCCTGGTGAGTTGATGACATCTCAAAATTTACAAGGAAATCTGAAGTTAGAAAGCTGTTTCATAACTTAAGCAAGAAAATATAGGTCTAGAATATATACAAAAGTAAATTATTAAAGACGTTTGGACACAACAAGTTAAATTAGACTAGTAAGTAAGTAGCCTCATAAATGATAGAAGTATTATTAATTTTTAAATGTTGAATATTAAATTTCATTGCATCCTGGTGCACATTGGTCAAGATGACTGAGTTCAATCCAATTAAAATCACTAACAGAAATTGCTGTTAAACACATCTTAAATCCCGAAGTCTTTGCTGAAAGAAAGTTACTGGTGAAATTGGTAGGAGCTGGTTAGTAACTGTTGTTTAATGTAGCTAAATAACTTCGCTGGAAGGTGTACCTGATGATTTCCTTCAATGTGATCAATTATTTTATTCAAAACAGCATATTTTAGTAGATCTCAAGCACAGTTAATGATGGAAACCCCTACTTGGATGGAAACGCAATGTAAAGAAAGCCTAAGCCAAAACGGCCATGATGTTGGTTGTGATACTCTCACTTAGTCTGATAGAAAAATTTGTCATCCTGCTTGAAGGATGTCTCATGAACTGTATGAATAGTATCCCATTTACTTATGGCCCAGTTATAAAATAGTTCTGTGTATTGAGATTACATTTGCAATACTGTAAATTTTAAACAAATGACAAGGTGTGTACCGATCTTCAGCAATGACAATTCTTGGGTATTTCTCACCAGTTGATCTTGGAGAGCTGTGCAAGGGATGTCACTCCCTTGTTTCTTTTTCCAGAAGTTTTCTTTTACTATTTCAAGGTGGTTTTGTATGCAGATAGAGACTTAACAAATCTAGACCTTCCAAGTACCAGTTTATTTAAACTTCTGCCCAAGTTCAAAAAATAAGGCATGTAAAAAAAAATTGCCATGTTCATAGGTTGGGTCTTGTACTTCTGTTTTTTCTGTTGCTGCACAGAATGTACAAGTCATTTTCACCACTTGGATTTCAATATTTCTCTTAAGGTGAGAGGGTGGGGTTTTTTGGTTGGTTGGTTTTGTTTTTGGGGTTTTTTAATTCTGGCTTAGTAGTAATACATTTAAAAGAGCAACAAACTTGACTTAATTTCGCTTTTAATGTCAGCTGTGGTTTGAAATCACTGTAATTCTTCCATGGATTTTCATAGATCTTGGCAGACTTACACGAAGATTCTGGATGAGCATGCAGAACTTGGCTGAAAGGGACAAGGCCAAGTATAGTTGAAAGGTACCCTGGAAAATGAGCTGACATGCACGATTGTAAACATCCTTCTGGGATCATCTGCTCCGCTCAAAGAGGTGTAACTGAGCCTGGGATAGTGATGGGAAAGCTCAACTGTTTCTTTCCTTTGTCCTGCAGAGGGAAAAATGAACAAAATTAAATGGCTTTTGACATGGCCATTGATATTCGTGCTGTTTACCACAATTCCAAACTGCAGCAAGCCACGCTGGGAGAAGTTCTTTATGCTGACATTTATCTTGTCCACTCTCTGGATTGCCTTGTTCTCCTACTTCATGGTGTGGATGGTAAGTGTATGTAGCAGGACTTCATACTGAGTGAAATGTGCATCTCAGACTATGTAAAAATCTTCTGTGCATTTGTCAAAGAAAGCCATGTGATTGTAGTGCAGTCTCTTCAGCTTATACAATGATTATTATAATTTTGGCTTTTTGCTGTCTTTTATTCTGCTGAAATAATTGGGCCTTTACTGTATAGGGCACAATACAGTACAGGAAGATAGTGGAGAACATCTCTACTTTCCTCAAATGTCTGTCAGGCATTTGAAAACCACTTTATGTTTCCTCTCATGAAAGATCATGTTTTCTGTATACTTTTTGCAACTTTCTACATAATTTTTGCATTGTAAAACAGTCCTGTAACATAGACTGTGTCTAAGAAATTCATTTGCAGGCCAAAGCCACACATTTGTATCATATTATATGTCCTTTGGAAGGTCATACTCTGTACCTTGGTTCCATATATAGATACTCCTTTCACAAATGAGAGAGGTGCTCGTTAAGGCTGCAGCCCATACTGCTTTAAGAGGCAGCTGGGCCATAGTACCTTGTTACCAGTCTCAGCAAGAGAGTCATGCTGACTTCTATTCCTGGGCCTCTGCTTGCCCCTGAAGATAAGGTTTGTCAGTTGAGTTCCTAAAATACATCTTTTCTTTAGTGTAGGGTCCATTTTTCCTCATGTGATAGACTGGCAAACTATTTCAAGAAAACAACTCAGCCTAGAAGATTCCATCCTTAGCAGTCTCAGCAGGGAAACGGCTGTCTCTCCCTGGTTCAGTCTTCTCACTCTCACAAACCTGTTTTCCTTTTCAACTGTTTTTCTTGATGGTTTTTCAGGCCTCTTTGGATGTTCCAGCTAAATAAGTTCCCTGTCCTTTCTAAGAGCTCTGCTGCAATATTCAGTGATTCCCTAAGCTCTTTTCAAGGTGCATCTGGAATATCAGGGGACAGTATAACCAGATGGGCTCACTTCGGGATTATATGAGAAGTCACACAAGAAACTAGTTCCTTCTTCATTTGTTAGGTTGTAATAAGTTTTTATATCTCTGCCACTGTATTACAGTATAATATTGGTTGCAGTCCTTTTGAGAATAGAACCAGTGAGAATGCTGCCATTTGTGGAAACCAAAAAAACCCCAAACCCACAGATTTTACTGTATCTCCTTAAAACTGCAGTATGTCATGTTAGTACAACAGGAAATGGAGATTTTGTTTGTTCATAGAATGTTGAATAATAAGACCCAAAGTACTTTTCCTTTTCACAGGGTTGGTTTTAGGCTGGTTATTCCTCAAGTATTTAATTTGCAGAAATGGATAAGTATTCTGAGTCTATTCCTGTTAGAGTCCACACCAGAAATCAAAGTTAAAGAGTATGCCACAACTGGCATACCCTCCTCATTGAAGACTTTCCAAATGTGATAAATTAATCTACCTTCCTCCTTGTTCAGGTGACTGTGATTGGATACACCCTTGGGATACCAGATGTGATCATGGGCATTACTTTCCTGGCTGCAGGAACAAGTGTCCCAGACTGCATGGCCAGCTTAATAGTAGCAAGACAAGGTACTGTGTCTGCTGAAGCATAACTGCAATCTTATAGATGTAAGATTGTTTCCTCCATACACACAAATTGTCAATGCAATTTTATAATTTTATTTTAATTTTTACTGTTTGAGAACCTCATTAAAAGCCAAAACAGTTTGCTAATTATCGTGAACCAAAAAATTATATTTTGCATATTAGGATGGGGCATTCTAGCATTCTAGAAGGTAATTCAACCTCAGATGTCCCATGCATAGTACGTATCAGGGTAAAAAGACAAAAATCATAGACAAAACTAGAACATCAGCTATTAAAAACTATTTTGAAGAAGTCGCACTGACCAGCACATCTCCATGTAAAATTTGTGCTGATTTCTAGAAGGCCTCTCAAATCCAAGGAAGTGAAGTGCTTTGAGAGGATCTGGCAGAAGTCTTGTTCCAGGCAGAGTTCTCATCCAAATGCTGACCTCTTTCCCATTGGAATATATGAATAGCTGCACTGGAAAGAGTTTTGGATTACTGACATCTACATTTTCCTCAGCTGTCCATTTGAAATTGTCAAAGGCTTTCTCATTTATTTTTTAATTTTGTTTAAGTTTTGTCATGTTTCCATTTTTTATTTGTAAAATGCTGGTAGCAGCATCCCTTCCTGTGGTTGGAAAACATTAGAGCTGACAATGTGACCCTCTGCACAGCAGTAGAATAAGAAAACGACCTAATTTTATTTTTTTCCAGTATTTCAATTCCCATAGCCTTTTTTTTTATCAGATAATGATATCTCCAGCACACATCATTGGGCAAACAACAAGGGCTTTTCAATGATAAATTAAGTACACAAAAGCCCCACCTTTGTAATTTGAGATAGGAGTAGAGCTGTTAAATGTTGCTTGTTTGAAAAGTGTTATATATTTAAAGTAAATAATTTTCCATGTTGCATTTGTTGTATGCAGAATATTCTCACAAAAACAGTACAACAAAGTCTTCAGAATTATTACGGAACCAGCTTCCTCCTAAATTAATTTTGCATGTGTATTAAGTTAAGTGAACAGTTTTTTTCAAGAACAAGGAAAATGTTACATTTTTAAATTAACAGACTGCTTCTTTAGATTAGTTCTTCTGTTGTACTAGGTAAAAATACTGCAAAGATTGTTTACTCTGAAAATTAAGATAAGCACTAGATTGACAAAAAGAGGCCCAATGCCCTTAAAGACAGTACAGGGACTTTGCACTGCTTGAATTCAAGGAGTTGTTCACTGACCGAATGCAGACAGGTGTAGATGGACACTACCATCATTAGATCCAAAGCATTACCTTACAGATCATGTATTTATGGTATGGTACTGTCTGTCTCCACTCTGTTTACTCTGAAACTATATTTGGGAGATGTCCCATTTATGGGGGAGTTCCTTTTCAGTTCCTTCCTTTCCAGTATTCACTTAGTGGAAGTGATTCAATACTTAGGCCAGGTCTAAGGGAAGTTAGCAGGGACAGAAAGAATTTTGCCTTCCTTGTATCCACTGACATTGGTGCAGAATAAGATGCCAGGCAGTGGTGAGCATTAGAAGTAGATTTTGAATAATACTTAGGTATTTTACCACCCTTTACCTTTCTTTTCCTTTCCTGTAGTATTTTACTGTTCTTGAAGTGAAATTATTACTGATTAAACCCCACTGAAGTGCATAGTCTCCCTACCTCAGATACTCTGACCAGTTCAAGGGGGCTTGGATCAAAGTGGATCATTCCCCTTTAGCTTCCTCCGGAGCACAGAGTAATAGCCATGTACTTTGATATTTTCAAAGACTTGGTTTTTGTGGTTTTTCTCCTCTGCAGGCCTTGGTGACATGGCAGTATCCAATACAGTAGGGAGCAATGTCTTTGACATTCTGGTGGGCCTTGGTGTTCCATGGGGTTTGCAGACCATGGCGATCGATTATGGATCAACTGTATGTATACTTGGCAAATCTTTCATTTGCACTTTTATTATATTTTTTTAGAAATCCTAAAAAGAAAGCATAAAATAGAATAAATGTAAAACCAAACTGTTAATCATGTTATTAGTTGCTAAATAAGGTGTTATTTCTTTGCTGAGGAACCCAGTTAAGAAAGCAATTCTTCTTCCACAAGATGCAATTAATTTCCAGTTTGTCAACTGGAGTATACGTACACTGTGTAGCAGAAAATAATTGCCATGGGTGATTCATGGCTCTATCATTTTCTTGCTACGCAACTTCCAGTAAACCTGTCTCCATGTACCTCAGCATTTTTGTAACTAAGAGCAAATAACAGCATATCTCTCTCTTCTGAGGATTTTTTACATAAAATCCATTATAAATGCTCACTTCTTTTTTTAATGGAGATGGGATTACTTTACATTCGGTTTGATTCCTTAATCTTCCCGTTCTTCATTAGGATACATCTGTTACGGATTTACATAGTTTAAAATATGTAAGGCACTGTTCAAAGCAGAAGGTGGACTTTAAATCAGTAAATTGATTTTTGATCTCCAAAGCACAGTTATATGGTCAGCATTTTAAAAGTATTTTCTGATTTCCACAGGTAAGAATAAACAGCAAAGGATTGGTTTATTCAGTTGCACTTTTGCTAGGATCAGTGGCACTTACGGTAAGTATTAGAGCATCTACAAGTATTTCAATTTGAAAATACTTGTTAGGTATTTACATGTTACAGAAGGATAACATAGAAATACTTAGCATTGATTTCTTCCAGCACTACCATGAGTTGAAGAGCTACCACTGTCCTCAGTGAGGACTGCAGTCTGGCATTTGGTGCAAGATGTGCTGGATATGTGTAGGTCCCATGGATTTCAGTGGCAGTGTTGAAATTTTTGGATCCAATAGTACTTTTGTGGTCCTGTGTCCATACCCTTGGCCTGTCTCTAGCTGAGACAAGACCAGTTGTGCTTCATCACCTCTGCCCTTGTGTCTGATTTCCAAAACCGGCCAATATCAAATGCTGCAGCCTAAACCCTTAGTGAAGACTAGTCTGTGAGGACTGTGAACCTCAGGACTTGGAAGAGACATGCTAGATGTGACTCAGCAAAAGACACCCTTGTAACACATGACTTCTTAAGGTGAAACAATAATTCTGTTTGAAAAGTCAATTTTGCTGGTACTTAAGGTCTGTTCATGCTTGACTCCCAGGGAACGCTCTGTAGGAAGAATCAAATCAGGTATAAGGAATCAAAAAGGTATAAAAATATCCACTTATACTAACATCTTTCACGGATTGCCTGTGGAGGCTTTGTAGAGGAAGTGGTCACCACTGGAGATTTCACACTGTTGCATGACTAAACCTTACAAAGCTTCACATCACCTGTGCATGACTTAAGTGACAGAATGTCCAGGGCTGTTCACTCTGCTACTAACTTCTAGTGTATCTGATCTATAAGGTGTGAGAACGTGTTCTTTTCATTTCTTATCCCCAGCCTGCCATACTGCACAGTGCCTGTGAAACAGCACCGGTGTTCTGTACACGTTTGTATCTGGTGTTGCTGCATGCATATTGTTAATCAGCACATTGGGGAAAAATGGGAGGATTATGCAGAGGCATTACATTCTGAAAAGAGTCTTTTCTTAGCAGATGCCAGATCACCTGAGTTTGAGGCATCTGTTACAGTCTCATTTATTCTGCTGAGTACCCTCATTTGCATAGACCCTCTGACAGCAAACTCAGAGGAAAGTTTTGAGCAAAATAAATAACAATTTGGAGGCACTGAACACCATGGAAAATAGATGTCTTCTTGAGGATTTTGTTGCTTTTCTACCTCTAACTTGTAACCCCTTAGTTCTGGAGCTCAGCAAGTAAGCAAGTAGAGCACCTCTTTTGAAGCTGTTGAAAGAGTGGGCATTTGGTGCTGGTGTACTACTGGGACATAAAGGATTTGCAGGAGAACGCGTGAGGGAGGGACATTAATTTAGTTTAGTTCATTGAATATTTTGTAAAACAGTCGTAGGACAGCTGAGACTCAGAACCGAGTCAACAAGGTATGTTGCCTTTCTGATCTATAAAATATGGAGAATATATTTTGTCTTCCTGCAAGACCTCTAATTCAAAAGACTCTCATTTTTAGCTTATAATGATTGTTTCCAAAAGTCTCCTTCAGAACTTTATTAACTGACACTCTGTTTGCTTGCAGGTGTTTGGAATCCATGTAAATAAGTGGAAACTTGACAGGAAGTTAGGCATCTACGTGTTGCTTCTTTATGCTATTTTCCTGTGTTTATCTATAATGATAGAGTTCAATGTCTTCACCTTTGTCAACTTCCCTATGTGCCGAGAAGAACTTTAAACCACAACAAGGAGAAAGACTGAAACTCTTCTGATTACACATGCTGTAAATGACAGGAGGCATTTCACATTTCTACCTTCTTTCCATCAATAATTTGAGTGTCATTCCTGCTTAATCAGCTAACGAGCACTTTTACCTATATGGAAGGAGAGCATACCTTTCTTTTAACATGCTAGCTGAAGGCAACCAAAGCATTTTCCTCATCTTTGGGTATTGCTGCTCTGTCATAAAGCTACATGGATCTTATGCAGAACTCTAAAAGGACCCATTTCTGGGCATTCTGTTTCTCCTTCTGCAGACAATCAACCATCACCATCAGGGTTAGCAAGAGGATGGGAGAAAAATCTTTATAGTTCTTTTGCTTTTGACATTTACTTTCCATGGAAGGATAAGAGGCAAGTTCAGAACCTTTCTTGGCTCAGTCAGAATATTTAAACTACAGGACCAGAAAGTCCAAGGCACATATCATGGCATGCACTGTTGAGGATCATTTCCCCCTTCAAGTGCTCTGCTTATAGAGAAACTGCACTGACAATTTTTGATGGCAATGTTGGATATTTATCACTCTGTTCAATGAACAATGTGGCAGAGAAAGAAGAGGAAATGGTTGTATGTTGTATCACTTGTGATGATGCACACTAGAAGTCAGAGTAACTGCATACTGAAGAAAAGAACTTACATGCAGAAATTCATACTTGAAAAATATGTTTTATTGTTAATGAGGAATGCTGTATACATAGATATAAACTGACATTTGTGGACTATTATGCCACAAAAAAATCCTTTGCATTGGCCATTGTAAGCCCATTGTGTAAATTTAGAAGTTAAAGAAATAAAATATAACTGGGTGCTCAGTAACTATCGGTTATTGTTACCAGCTGGGAGTAGTAGCTGAACATAATCCAGACTTTCTGACAGCAAAACCCACCCTGATTATGATTTGCTTTGATTCAGTTTGATTGGTGAGAAAAAGAAGCTTATTTCATCAGTCAAGAAGCTGGTGTATTCTGCACCATTTTTTCTTATTCCCAGAAGCTTAATGAAGATGAATTTCTGACACGGAGCAGTGCAGATAAGAGTCACCCTGACAAAAGCAAGTCTGTCAAGAGAATATGGTCCTTGATTTGATTGCATGCAAATTTTGAAGCATTATATACTTCTTTTTTACCCTGAGTAGAAGCCAAGTTTTGATATCCTTTCCACCAGCATAAATCTGATGTAAGGAATTACTCTGGATATAATTGACAGCAAGATCCAGCCCAGAGTATTAAAATAGCAGGTAACATTCCACAATTTAGCAGTGATATAATTGTAAATCACTGAAACAGCATATTTTGAATTGCTACTAAACTTTAAAAATATTTTGAAGCTGTATGTGAATGATCACATAAAGTTCTAAAGAAGCACAGTTACCTTTATACATAGATTTTTAAAATTTTTTAATGTTTATAAACCAAACCAACCCTATCAACTAACAGTTGATGTGTTTTTAAATGTATTAATATTTTCCATTAAGACTAAATATAAAAAATTGTGTCAATGAGTATATACTATAAAAACTTAGCAAATAAGCACTTACTCAGAAAGTTCCTTCTTTTGACATATGACAAATAATTATGTTTAGCTGACATGCAGAATACTGTTTACACCAGGCAATGGGTTTACAACAAAAATTATTTTTTAAATTATTTTAGAATAAATTAAAGAGTGTATGCTGCTGCTGGTGTTTTTTTTTTTTTAAGAATTGGGTCTGTTCAATGTGATTCTAAACAGAAAAAGAGCAACACATTTGTTATTTGCTTTACATTTTGTTACAAATGTCAGTATTAGTATCCATTTAGGGTTTCTTACCTTAATTAAAAGGTTGTGTCGTTAAGTTAAGAACTAAAGATGGACACAATTACAGCATTACTAAAATGCTTTATTAAATAGTCAAGAATGGCAGTAAACACATTTTATCTCAAGTATGCCAATGACCCCATTTCCAGGCATTCACGACGTTTTTGCTGCAGTATAAGGCTGAGGAGATGGAATTCATGTTCATCTTGGAGTCTTCTGTTGCAGAAAGGCTGTGAAAATGCAGCTTACTGCTGCACCCCTGTAGGAATATCCCTCCCTAGAATTCCTCTCTCCCCTGCTGTCTTTCAGGAGGACAGCTCACTGCTGAAAATCCGGTGATGACTTAGATATGAGACTGAAAGGAGTAGAGAGAGAGAGGCTGAGTAAATGGTTTCCTATAGTCTGTTTTTGTGGTCTTGGAGAACGGTCTCCAAGCAAACATTTGCTCTCCTGTGCACAGTTCAGGCTGCTCAGTTGTCTTTACATCATAGAACAGTAGTTCCAAAGTCTGGTTTTGAATGCATAGTGATCAGCTGAGTTGACAGGGATGAGGGCATCAAAATTGTATTGTACCTTCTTATTTCTGAGCCAGAAAATTTTAGAAGAGTATGGGCACCATTTTTTTTCTGTAGCAGCTGACTTTCTGCCCAAATATACATGAATTTTGTTTGCTAATTCCATAAGTCCTTCACACGTCATTTAAGATGACTCTGCCTAATCTGAATATCACCTGCTCCAGAAAACCAGTGTTGTTTTTTAGCAGAAACAGTCTCAGAATCCAGAACAACACTTATAGTGTGTGGCTGGTTCCTTTCATCTATAGCTCTCCCTGAAACATAAACTCACTTCAGGACAATTTATATTGAATTCTAATGCTGCATTTCATGGGTGTTCTCATCTGCATCTACTGCTATGAGACAAGTATCATGCTGTGCTTATCATTATAAATAACATTAGTAGGATTCTCCTTTTTCACCACCACTACATGTATTGTTTGCCAAAGAATTATGAGATGCTGCGTCAGGGCTTTGGACGCGTAATCATATTAAGTACTTCAAGAAGCTCCTAAGTAGTCCATGTATATAGGTTAAAATAAATAGTTATACACTAAGCCATGCAGGTAAACTGAATGGTCCAAGAAAGATCTGATTGACAAATTGCTGTATTGGAGATAAACCCACATCAGAATGTATCAGTAATTCAGGAGGCTATTGCTGAGGAATAGCAGACTAGTGCCTTTCACATGTATACAAAAAAAAAAACAAACAAAAAAACAAAACATCAGCTTGTGTGGTCAGGAAACCATTAAAAATGTTGCCATTTTCAAGAAAAGGAGTGATTTGTGCTTGGCTCTCCACTCTTAGCACAGTTCTATATTGTAGCTGTTTGGACTGTATCTATAAAATTTTGCAGCCATTTTGTTTCATTAACCATTGCAAAAGTTATCTGGCTGAGTTTGGAATGTATGTCACAATGTTCTGTAAGTTAATGTTCAGCTCAAGAGTGAAAAGAAAGCTGGTGGATGTGAGAGAGAAAACTGTTAGTGCAATCTTAAATTTGCCAGCATACTAACACTGAAAAGTAACACAACTCAGAAAAAGATATCCCATATCCAGCAAAGCTTAACTTCAATAGGTTTGATTCCATTTTAAAGCTAAGCATCCATCCAAGTGCCTTGCTGGATTGTGTCCTAAGATGACAGTGGAGCATGGTTTCTGGGTTTCTTATCATAGTCAGTTCTTTCCATGTTCTATTTTGTAGTCTAAAGATTTTATTTCTTTCTCAAATTAAAAGATTTGGCCAGAATCTGTGGACTTCTGCTCTGCTGATACCACTTCAGAGTTCCACTCTTGTAAATAAGAGAACTTGTTCCTTGTCTCAGATTTCTCAACTGTGCATCTGCCCTTGTGTATGAGCAGGATCAAAGCTGAGTTACAGCTGGCCAAGGAGGGCTTTTAGCAGCTCTTTTGAGCTGCATTCCCCTGGAGTAGCAGTCCCACATAGACCCATGGAGAGTAATCCTCTCTCCAGCAAGGAACTGGGAGTGTTTCCATTCTGTTCAGCAGTGTTTGATTCCATTTATTTACCATAACAATTGTACTGCATTATGAAGTATTGATTGTGTAAAGAGTTCAAGCTCAGGATCTGCATGTCTTAAGTCTAAGAAGCTCCAGGTATGGTTATCCCAGTGTCTCTTTGGTGGTCTAAGGGCTTCTCTCTGGGCTGAAGTTTAGCCTAGAAGAAACCTTAAGTCTTCCCAAGAAGTACAGCATAGTCAACCATCTTTCTCCTGGCTCGGTCTCTGGTGTGCCAATTTTATTTTGTTTTTATATGCTTGCTGCAGCTGTAACAAACCAAGTTAACTTCTGGTTTTAGATTATATTTGTAAGCTTTCTGTCAACATGTAAACAGATGGTGGAGGTCTTTACTAATCTAATATTTAGCAATTACAGAGAAGATTCTATTCTGTCTGATTTCTCTTGTGACTCTGCTTTAATTATTTCCCTTGTGACTCTGCTTTAATTATACTGGTTTTTATTATGTGTTTGCTCTAGGTGCACAAATGCCTCGTGAGTTTTGTTGTCTTCCTTTCATGAATTTCTTGCAATTGTAATGCCATTTACTTGTGTCCCACTGTTAGCTGGTTTTGGTAGAGTTCTTTAAGCTGTAGAAATACTGTCTGATTATTCATGCCAAGGAAATATCAGACGTTATGTAATACAAAACAGACACTAAAATAACTCCGATAGCCAGGTGAAACCAAAGATTCTTCCTAATTGAAGTACATCACCTTGGAGCATAATGTTCTGTCATTGCAAGCCTCAGATCTCTCTGTTATTTGTGTTTAAACATTCAGAAGAAAATCTCTGCAGCTCATGCATTTGCTGCAGAATTTTCTATTTCCATGAGTCTGAATGCCCCTTTTTTCATTTCGTTAGATGGTGAGATTTATGTGATGGTTACACAGGTAAATGACAGTGTTTAGTTCCAGCAATTCTGTACCAAACCCGTTATTATTCCATTGGAACATTTGGAAAAGTCTGTATGCAAGTGATCAATGTCCTGCTGAAGAAGGGAATGTCATTCAACTGATGTGTGCGTTCCACTTTCTGACCTACAGTGTACATGTTTAAAAGCCTCCTTTTCAATAACTTGAGCACTTTTCTCACATTTTCCCACATGTGAGGTCCTGATGGTTTTTCCCCTGAGAAGTCTGTGAAGTCCTGACACGTGAGATGTGTGTGGCTGCTTCTCCACAGGCCAGGATGTGTAGTGATTGATTGTGGCAGTTTGTCCATCACATGGTTCTGCTTGCTCCCATACCATGCACTGTCTGAAAGAAATTAATAACTATGGGAAATTAATGCAATTTGGATATTTTCTTAGAAGAATTGACAGTTGGAATTTCATTCTGTTTTTCTTTTTCATTTGCACAAAGAATGTAGGCAATCATTGCTGTCCTGTCACTGAGCTGGTCTTGATAAACTTGAACGACAAATAAAAAGATTGGTTTATAGCAGTAGGCATGGTAGCAAATTCTAAAGGTATCAGAATAGTGAAAACCAGACAGATATAATCTCTAGAAAAATTAATAACAACTGAGATGCTTCCTTTCAGAGGGTTTTTGCAGAAAGATTATGGCCTTTATTCATATACCAGTTATGTATGCAAATAAAACTAGTAAATCTGCTTCCCCAACAACACCTGTGTTTCAAATGGCTGTTACTGCAGCAAAGTTAACACCAAATTCTTGCCTTCATGTTCTTGGGAGTGGTGCCAGTGTTCCTGAGTGTCCTGATAGTTGGCACAAATTAGTGTCAGTGGAACTGAGCACAGAATTTGGCTCATGGTATCTCCTCCACTGCAAGAAATTCTTTGAAATCATTTATGGTCACTGAAATAAATTCTGAACCTTTTAAAAACCTGTGTTTCATACTTGCAGGCATTTGCAGTGCACCCTTCAGAGGTGCAATACCTCTTTAAATATTATGAAAACTTTCTAGAACTGCTTACTTTGAAAACAGAAAGGGATGGGTTTGTAAACTGTAAATAACAGAAATCTCTCATGTTACTTATTTTTTCAATGACTGTGACCTTATGCACTGTGAATGCTCTGTGATATGGGGTCCATTGTACAGATAAACATGTCATGAAATCCAAATGGATTTAATGTGATAATTTGTTACAAAATGTTGGCATGATATTTGATTATTTTTGTTGTGAGAATTTTAAAAAATAGTTAACTCAGCATTTATAAAGATTATAGCAGTCAGTATTATAATGCACTATATAAAAATATGTACACTATCAATAAATTATATAAACAAGAGTGTTTGCTGTTTTTTTTCTCAGATGATTAGTAGATGTGAAGCATTCTCATATATATTGTTGTAAATCTGAAATTTTGGGACCCAAACAGGACATGTGCCTGCACATGTTAGCTTTTTGGTGAAATCTGGACCCTGCTGAACTGAGTGCCAGAAGGCCCCACATTCTGTGTGTTCTAGGGAGTATTGCCTGGATCAAGCCATTATCTGGAGTGAGTTAATTGTATGGGTTTGATTTGCAGCAATTCTGAAACACACAATTTGCTCTTTTAGGACTAGAAAACTGAGAACTCAGTTTGCTGAGAGCACAGTTGGCTGTACTGAGGCACTGATCCAGAAGCAATTCTGGCAACCTCAGGAAAAAACCCTGATCAAGAGCACTTTGGCTGCCTCATCCAGTGATACATTGGTGTCCTGCAGGTTCACACTGAGTGCTGCATGCTGATGAGTGGCTGGAAATGAGGTCCAAAGACCACACAGTACTATTTTCCTTTCCCAGTTCCCTAGGCTCTGGAAATACTCCTTCTTGCCCTTGATTTCCCATTTCCAGCATGCCTGTAGTCCCCCTTGGGGTGTGTGGAGACTCCCAGTATATTGTATAGTCTGTGGTGCAGTCTGTGCTGGCCTTAGGAAAAACTTTAAATGCAGTTATTGGAAAAAGAGGAGCTAAGAGTTTATTTACCTCATCTCATGGCTTGGTGTGTTTACAGTTTCATTAGACAGGAAGCTTCTCATGAATACTCCTAGCTAATTTACTACCAGGAGATGCAAGTTAAAATAAAGCTTGATCTTTTTCTTAAGCATTGTGCATGAGACTGGAATCCCTACTGCTGTGTAAACCTGGCATTAGCCACTGTGGGGCTTTTTGTGCATCTACAGAAAAGTCTTTTGGAAGAGGAGATTTCTCTGAATTTTGAAAAAGATTTCATTCTTTAGTGCATGCTAGGCTAAATTTTTCTGAGCTGGGGAAATAAAAAGATTCCTTCTTTTATACAGAATGAACTTCTAAAAACCAGAATCTGGATGTGGACAGTGCCTCTTCATTTAATCCTTCCATCCTTGACACTGTGACCCATCATGATCTGTTATGTAATAGGCTCTATAAAAGGCACATAATCTATGGATTAGTGACACAATAGGCATGACAGTTCCTAAGGGCTCCTATCACAAGCCATGTTATTGATGTAGGCTCTCCCTCCTGTATGGAAAGCAGAGCAGTGGTATAATCTGGGCATGTTCTGAAAGCTCTTTATTGTAGCTGAAGTGCTCACTGTACTTAATGGCTTCCCCCATAAGCCATTTTTAAACTTTTCCAACCCAGTCACTTGAAACTACAAAAAAGGGCTGCAGGATGCTGTGGCTTAAGATGGAAAGGGTGAATCAGTCCTAGAAGAGAAATTAATTCCTCCCATTTGGCTTGGATTTATAACAGAGGAATGTAAATTTGAAGGAACTGGATATCACTTTGTCATTTAGCTTTTTTTGTAATTGTTTCCGCCCAAAGCATGGTTCTAGAACACAATGTCACATACTAAACCTGTCAAATCTCCAGCTCAAAAAGACATCCAGTAAAGCTTGAGTAAAATTTGTCTTCTTTTTCATATTTTAAATATTTTACAGAAATGCTGAGTATTTTGCAGAAAATATGGGACTTTTAGAGTTAAATTTGGTCAATATCTTTAACAAAACAAATTCCAAAACTTCAAATTTCTAAAAATGTATTCTTTACCTTGGAAGTAGCATGAATGATTTCACTCAAATCACATGAAACTGAGATAGCACCAACATACCAGAATTTTGTATTCTGTATTTTTTGCCATTTTTTCCTGGACCTTTTTAATTGTTCTAGTAATGTTTTTTCTTATTTCCTAAAAAATATAATTGAAATTTTCTAACTCTGTTGTGTTCTGCATTTGCAAAATCGTAAGTCTTTGCCTAGGATGGCTGCCTGTTTGTGTGAACAGTTTTCTCTGTGAGCAGGTCCATGCAGACAGCACAACTTTGCAATTTTTTGTCTCAGCAAACCTTTTTTTCCAGCAGAGGAAGGGCAAATGCTGAGTGGGCCTGGTCCCTGCAGAATTGCAGGGGAGGAAAGTAGAAACTGAGATAGGGTTCAATTTGTGTGATGCATGTAGGAGATTCTTCTCATGCCAATACCTGAGGTACTCAGCTGGTGAATATATATTTTTTCTTTTTCCTTGGACCTGTGATCCCAGAACCACAGAAGGATTCAGAGCTGAGATCTGACAAGTCTCCAGTAAGGATGAGTGAATCTCAGCCAACCAGTTTGTCTAAGAGGACTAAATGTTTCATGAATGAGTTTGTTGTTGCCTGAAAATTACTCTAGGAGTTGGAGCAAGGAGATCGTTAATATAGTAGAAAAGAGCATTACAGGATACAGTAGCTGAAAATTTAAAACTAGATAAGGCAAAAAATTCAGGTGTGAATTTAAATAATGGCAGCAATTGAGCGCTAACATGCCTTACTTAGAACGCTGGTGAATTTTCCATCATGCAGTCTTTCAGTAAGGCTCTTTCAAAGATAGTAGAGTTTCTAAGATAAATCCTTGTAAAAGCTAGAAGATAAATTTCCTAATGGGAACTGAAGTTAGAGTCTTTATTAAAAAAAATAAATAAAAATTTGTCTTGTGTTACATCAAAGGTGTGACTTGGTGATGGTAAAAGTCTCCCTGATTCTCTCTAGCTCAGTGCCAGCGGAATTGGCTCTGTGTTCTGCACTGAGGTCTAGTTTCCCTCTTGCCAATACACTGACAGCTCCCTGGAATTTGCATTTCTGCTGTGGACTGTGTGGCACTGTCTATTTTCAGAAGGCTGAGAAATTCCTTCTAAAGATAAAGGGGGGAAAAATTTTGTCTCCTACTCCATTCCATCCAATTGCTTTTCTCCACCTCTTCTTTCTACTTCTGCCTTTTTTTTTTTCCATTATGTATTCTCCTAACATCAAATCTTTCTGGAGCAAGGGGGCTGCCGAACAGGAGTGCCACCGGCCGTGGCTGCGAGCACATCTGTGAGCCGCAGCCTGCACAGCTGGCGCGGGTTCGCTCGGGTTTCCCGCACAGCAAGCCCGGATCGCTGCAGCAACCGCGGGTCAAGCGAGCTCCGAGCCCCACGGGAGCTCCCCGGCGTGCAGAGCTGCTCGTCTGCCAGCAGCCACACAGCCCCAGCACTAGCTTTTGCTTTGACTGGGAATGCTTTTGCAAAGCTGTCCTCTGCCAGCGTTAGACATTTCGTTTTCTCAGGTCCTGTGTAAATATAAAGGTTTCCAAGCTCCATCTGGTTCCAGTTACTCAAGCAGTAGAAATACACATGCTTCAGGAATTTGCAGACGGAGGCTTGCTGCTTTGCTGCCTTACAAAATCCTTTACAAAGTTCACTGTGCTCCGTTGCCTCCTGACATACCTGTAGTCTGTAAAATTATTTCCTCTGAAACTTAGGTTAGAGAAACAAATTAGTTGAAAATCTCAGGCCCTTCTTTCTAATAAGGTTAACCTGCTTGCACTACTAAATATGGCTTTATAACACACACACTCTCACACACATGCACACCCTTGACCACCAAAGACTGCCTCTTCCTGAAATCCCCCGTTCATATAAATACAGGAAGTAGAAATAAGAGAGGCTAAAATCGGATCTTCTTGGTAGTTTGCTTTCATTTCAGTGCTTGTTTAGTCCTCTGCCCTCCGATACTACTGAGCCTGAAGCTGGTTTTCAACATCTTCCCCCTCATGCCCTTGAAATACCATCTTCAGTACAAAACCTGAGGATGTGGAAGTTCTGCTCAGCGATGGGAAGGAATTGCTTTTCTGACCGAGGAACTCTCAAGCCACTGTGATACAGAAAGTGACTTAAAGTTTGCTGTAATGATGAAAACATCAGCAGGAGAGAAGGGAGCCAGGGATGACTCAGGGTAAGTCCCAAATCTTTAGTGACTGTTCATTTTTAATAACTGTCGCTTTCCTTTTTCTGCTTAACAAAGAGTTCTCAGCTGCATTTGTGAGCTGACTGCTGAGTTACTGGTTACACAGTCACAATGGTGTGGCATGACTGTGTTGTAATTTACAGTATTTCCTTTAACTGGCATGTTCCAGCTGAAAACAAACTACAATAGCTTTATTTAGCTTGAACCTTAGCTATTTAAGGAAGAAGGATCAATCCAAATCTACAGTTTGGGGCAAAGGACAGAAAAAGGGACTTTGGTTTTGGAAATGTGACAAAGCTTTTCTGGGACGCTTGCTTTGTTTCTGCTCAAATGCAGAAGTGGATAAGGGCTCATCCTCATGAACTAATGGTCACTTCAGTGCCTGCACACTAAGGTGTCCACAAACCCTGTCCCCAGGCTCCCAGGAGACCTCCAGTGTACTTTCTGTCAGGAAAGGACTACAGGCTTCCCTCGTCTCTGGCCAAAACACTGCACCTTGCACGACCAAACCTCAGGAAAACAGTGGGAAGGAAAATGGGCTTTGATGGAAAGGACAGTCAGCAAGCTACTGGGATTCCAGGATAAGGCTGGAATCCTCCCAAGGCTTGGTTGTATCATAAAGACCATGCTGAAGCTGGGCATTTCTGTTTCCTGTTTTAAACAAGCAAGGGAAAATTACATAGCTGCTGAAACTGTCAGTCACACCCCCCTTCCCCCCCTTTCCCCCTTGGAAAACCATAATAATACCAGATGCTGAGACTTTTTCTTATCTGTCTAACACACTTAGCCTGTTTTCCATGAATAAAGGTTTCAGATATTTCTGTGATGGATGCAGTAGAAGCAGCTCTGTGGATGGGTGGATAGATATGGGATAGTTGCAGTTCCAGTTGCTGAGGGTGCTGCCCTACTTAGAGCACACTCAGTCAAACAGGGGGAAATTGCTGCTGACAGGCCCCTGTGTGATGGTTTTACTGTAGCACTGTTCCCAAATACACACATGGAGTGGGGGGATGGAGGCAGAGCCCTGCATTGCAGTTGTCACTGCTTTTCCTTTGTGCAATTGTTTGCATTAAGTGGAACAATGCCACTCCTGTTTCAAGGTATAATTCCTCAGTCCCATGTAATGTTAAACACTAAGGGACAAAGATCACACAGCTGTGAGGAAAAAATGAAAGCATCCAATCCCTGTAGACTGGTGAGAGGAACTTACAATTTGCAGATATTCCCTGCATTTTTGACAGTTGAGATGTTAAGTATGATAAACTGGAAGATATATTAGTTTATCTCTTTCTGAGATGTCTGAAAGGAGCCACATGCTTGCAAAGGTTTGTTTTCTGTCTAGAGTTGCAGGAGAAAGTAAACAAGCCATACATCCTAGGAATCAACCTGTAAATCAAGTGGTTGGAGGAATATTGAAGCATCAGTGGTCATGCTGCACGCATTCTTTATACGTTTTTGAGCATTTGAGCAATTTAACAGAATAACCTTTTATTTCATTAACTGATTGTCTTTATTTCCAATCTATCTTTCACTCATAAAGAGGAACTTGGGTGTTTTAAAATCTATTTCAACTCTTTCTGTTTACATGCTATAATATTGCTGAAGATCCTCAAATTTACATTTTAGCGTGCATATGTTGTGGCTTCCAACACATTACAGAATTAGAAACATTTCTAAGTGGTGTTTAGCTGATTTCCTGTTATGGTTACACTGAATTAGGGGCAAATTATGCAAAGTATTTGAAGTTCATAGCTTTCAAAAGAAACGGTAACCTAAGGCAAGGTGTTGATGGAGAACCTAGACATGATTTTAAAATTCCGTGCACCAAAATTGCATGAGAAATTTCTGAGATTGCCCCTCTGTGAAGCATAGTTTTAACATTAGTTAAAAGGGAAAGCTTACTCACATGCACATAAATTATGGCAGTGCAAATTATCATGGAAGTACCCCAGCAACTTGGAAATATCCATGCATTCATTCCTAGGAGGGACTAGGGTCTATTCTGCATGTAGTAAATCCATAAACAAGTTTTGCTGATTTATATCTGTCAAATGTCAGAAAGACACTGGGGAGAAATCTGCTTCCAGAATTAGTAGCCACTCAGAAAGGAATGAGGGAGAAGTGCAGCCAGGGGCTGGATTGAAATCAGTCTAATCAAATCCTTCCAAAATGCTATGGGAGACAAGCGGGGAAATTTAACCATTAATTCTCACCTAGGTCAGGCTAACTCCTAGGAACATTAATAAGTGGTGAGATCACAAAACATCTGGAGAAATGTGAGCTGCTTGACCATGGTGACGATGGTTTCATGTAAAGATAAATGCCTTCACTCCCACATCTGGCAAATGTATGGAGGATATGATGAGTAGAGCAGGCAGGAGCTGAGACAGAGATGGTATGTGCAAATATTGAATCCATCTCTGAGAAAATGGTGTTTCAGGTAGCTGGGATGGGTTACAGTGGTTCTCATTTCTGGGACACCAGACATGATTACCTAATGAAGTAATGATTGTGCATCTTTTGGTGGCATGTCTTTTTTTGGCACTAAACCCACATCACAGTTGACAGATTTAATGTGATGAACGTAGATATAAAGAAGTCAAACGCTGGAGGAATCTGTGAACTGAACCACTCTCATAGATTCACAGATTTTAGCTTCAGAAGGGAATATTTTGATTGTCTAGTCTGATCTCCTGTGTAGAGCAGACCATAGAACCTATGAAGCATGCTATGAAAACCACGCCTTCTGCTGGAATGAGAGTTTTCACAGAATCCTGGAGTATTCTGTGATCCCACCAGGATCATTGAGTCCAACTCCTGGGTGAATAGCCCATACAGGGATCAAACCCATCACCTTGGTGTTGTTAGTTGGTCACAAGAGCTTTGTTATCAAGGGATTCTTCTACCCAGGCTACACATACGTCTCTGCAGTGCAGTAAATAAATCTTATACAAGCTTTTACCAGGTTCAGGTTTGAAAGGAGAAAAAAATTATTTAAAACTCAAAAGCCATCCTTTGTAATAATCTCATATTATTTGAATCAGTGGGAAAAGTCCTGTTTGCCTCAGGAAGTCTTGTAAAGTACTCCTTATAGAAAGGGAGTACTCTCACCAGAACCTGTGAGATGTGGTGTTTAAAGGGGAAGGGACAATTCAAGAAACTGGAAAGAAATCAGTGTTATTAAATCCCTGCTGTCTGTCAAGCTCTCATAAGGGATACACTTTCTATTTGAGGTGGATGATGCTTCTCAGGAGGGAAATATCTGTGCTCAAGATGCTTTGCACCAAGAGTGGGATATCACTGTAAAGATACAAAAAAAGGAGGTGCTCTCCAAAGCTACTTGAATTTGGTAGGGAGGAGACAAAAATTTCCTGAAATTCATTTAACTGAAAAGCATGTTTACAACCACACTAACTTGTTACCTGGTTTCTGCAGCACTTCCAGTATGTGAGTCCTTGCCAAACTTAGTGGATGCTTGGAACACTTGTGCAGTGGTACTGGTGGCAGCAAAGGCAGCTGTCCCTTTGGTTCCTAGAGGACAGATCACACTGGAAATATTGCCCCTGAGCAGGAACCTCTCAGCACTGCAGAGTCTTATACCAGTGCTCAGGAATGGGGGCACAATTGTAAGCAATATTCTGATCATCTACTTTCTACTACAGGTTCAGCTAAATATAGTTTTTCACTTCCTGTCCTAAATGGCTACGTGCTGGTTTGTATTGTTGGCTTTACAGCCTGGAGGCAACACAGGCTGAAATATGTGCACATTGAAAGTGGAAAAAGTTGCACACATCTCCCTTGCTCTGTGTGCACAGGTGTTCATGTAGAACAGTGGGTTCTGGAGACCAGCTGGGAGGGTTGCTTGGCACAAATTTGGGCTGGCTTCATACCTTATCAAACCATGTGTACATAGTCCAGGTACTTTAGAGATTATCTATTTTATAAACCACACTAACTTGTTACCTGGTTTCTGCAGCACTTCCAGTATGTGAGTCCTTGCCAAACTTAGTGGATGCTTGGAACACGTGTGCAGTGGTACTGGTGGCAGCAGAGAAGGCAGCTGTCCCTTTGGTTCCTAGAGGACAGATCACACTGGAAATATTGCCCCTGAGCAGGAACCTCTCAGCACTGCAGAGTCTTATACCAGTGCTCAGGAATGGGGGCACAATTGTAAGCAATATTCTGATCATCTACTTTCTACTACAGGTTCAGCTAAATATAGTTTTTCACTTCCTGTCCTAAATGGCTACGTGCTGGTTTGTATTGTTGGCTTTACAGCCTGGAGGCAACACAGGCTGAAATATGTGCACATTGAAAGTGGAAAAAGTTGCACACATCTCCCTTGCTCTGTGTGCACAGGTGTTCATGTAGAACAGTGGGTTCTGGAGACCAGCTGGGAGGGTTGCTTGGCACAAATTTGGGCTGGCTTCACACCTTATCAAACCATGTGTACATAGTCCAGGTACTTTAGAGATTATCTATTTTATATCATATTTCCAAATGATAATAGGACTATATTTCCACTTATTCATCAGTAAATATAGATGGCTTCTCTGAGACCAGCAATATAGGATTGTGAGACTCAGAAAAATTTCCAAAATGACCTAATGTCTAATAATAGACATTAAAGAAAACACCTAAACCAAATCCATTCAGAAGAAAAAAACTGGAGAGTTTTAAATGCTTGTCTGGGTCAATTGATAAAGAACACAGAAACCAAAGTGCCTTAGAGAAACTTGGAAAAAATATTGTCCATCACAGACCTTCAATCTTCATAATTTTGAAGGGAGAAGGTTTTTTGCATTTGGGAATAGAAATAAATAGCTTTTTGGAAGGTAATTAGAATGAACAGGCAGCTCTTTGCAATGACTAGTCAAATTCTAGTGCAGATGGATCTGTGGGTAGAGTGAAGATATGGTCATCAAAAGCTCTTGGTGCCCCAGAAGTCTATCACACTTTTCCAGCTATATCAAAAGGCATTCCCTCTG